CGGAAAGCAAAGAGTAGAAAAGGGGAAGAAAAAAGGGAAAAAAAATCCGCAAAAACGCCCAGTCGACTCCTCGTCGCAGGACGCCGGCGACAAAACGGAGACCCGATAACCGAGAGGGGCCTGCTCCGCTATCGTCGCCACACGCGCGGCGTATATCACCTCGGAACAGTAAACACACTTTTATCCAAACGAGTACCGAGATACCAATTGCCTCGGCATGCTCTCCAACCCGGAAGATGTAAACATCGAGTACCGAGTGTATCGCGTCAACCTCCGGCCTTCTATTCCGAAATCCGCGATATTATCCCCCGCGCCCCAGGGGCGTTAAAAGAGAGAAAAAAAAAAATATAAAAGAAAAAGAGAGGGGGCCGATTAAACGTGCACACGTGGAGTTTAAAATCGATGTCAAAGGGGCATTATCCGAGGAGCGGCTGTCGTGCCATTTGCCAAGTGAGTCCCCCTCTTGGCGACAATCGCGAGCGGTCCCACGCGTCCTGTGACTCCTGACATCTCCATTGAGACTTTCGCCGTAAACGGTCCTGCAACGAGCCTTTATGCCCCCGTAATAATCCCTTTTCCATAGAGGCCGGAGCTACGGAATATAACAGCCCCTCTTGGTCTCTTACAAACGAGGGCACCACTCGGACGATCATCGAGTACGCGCAATACCGGTCACGCTCGGCTCGAAATACAAAGGTCCATGTTGCATCCGCTGTATTCACGAGAAACACATCTTTGAACGGTACCAAAGGAAGTTTCCCAAACGATACCTCTTCCACGCCACCCTCTCATCCCCTTAAAATTACTCGAAAACCCCTCTGGTATCACAATCGCAGGTATCGAGTAGTTCGATAAAAAATGCCCAGTTCTTAGGAAATTTTCCCAAACGATACCCTTTCACGCCACCCTCTTATCACCTTAAAATTACTCGAAAACCCCTCTGATATCATAATCGCAGGTATCGAGTAGTTCGATAAAAAATGCCAAACCGGTAGAATTGGAGATTTCCATCGTAACCCACCCCTGCCCCGTTCTTCGGGGACGCACCCCCCGTAGGTTATTGTCTCACTCACCCTGTGCGGCGCGCGCAGCAGCCGATGGACGGCGGCCAGCTGATTGATGAGCGGCAAGGTCGCGCTGAAGGTGTGAATCGGCGGCCGAGGGGGCTCAGGGTAGGAGCTCGCGTACGCGAACGGGTCGACGTCGTTCAGGTACTGGACCCTGCAGGTCAGGGAGACCATGGCGGCCCCCTGCCCCCCGGAGGGAGGGGTTCGACCCAGGGCGGGGGGCGCTAGCGGGGCCTCATGGGCCCGACTCGGCGCGACCCGGGCCCGACTCGGGGCCCGCGAACCGGTCCGCGGAGCCGGCTCGGCCGCGTCGCCGCCGCTTTATTTCGAGACCCGAGCGAGACGCTCTCCTCTCTTTATCCGGCGTCGCGCGCCGCGTCGAAGGACGCGCGCGCACGCGGGAGTACCGCCGCGTGTCTTTGTTTTTCGGCCGCACGGTCTAATGGAAGTCGAGGTGCCCGGTTAGCGAGAGACGGAGAGAACGCTGGAGAGAGAAAGAGCGAGAGAGAAAAAGAGAGAGAAAGAGCGAGAGAGAGAGAGAGAGAGAAGGATCGAGCGAGAGGGGACACGTGAAGAAATTCCTGTCGGGAGATAGCGCCGAGGTAATACCGGTTCCCCGAGCCGCCGCGGCGCCGCGACGCCGCGCGACCGACCGCGTGCGCCGGCGAAGTAGAAGGGGAAGGGAGGGGAAGATAAGGCCGCGAGTTCCTAACTTCACCTCGGATCTCGGCGGAATGAGTTTTCGCGAAATGTGTTTCGTTCACCTCGAACCTTCGGAGTCTGGGCGGGGAGGGGGCGTCCGACTGCCCGCGACCGGCACGATCTCCTCGTTACTACGGTGGGACGGTTTTCTGAATAGTTCCCGGGTAACAGGGCTCGCCCTCTCTTCCGCGATGACGAACCGGCGGATTTACATGGAAGTGGAAGTACCGCGGGAAGAGATATAAATATCCTTGCGATCGGGCGAAGCTACTCCCGGGTAAACAAGGTGGGAGGGGGGTCCTGAGGTACCGGCCGGGTGTCGCGTTACGACATCCCCAGGGAGACGGGGACGGAGGCGCGGGACAAAAGGAAAACACCGCGGCCCGCCGGCTGGAATGCGCGGCAAACGCGAAATAACGTCCGCGAAGAGGCTCCTCCGTGGCTCCGGAGAGACTGACCGGGAGGGGGTACGCGCGGGGCCCGCCGAGGGTTGGTCCGGGCCCGGGTGCGCGCGCAGCCTCGGAGAGGCGGCCGCGGCCCACTCGGAGCGCGACCGCCGAGCCGCACGGAGGACAATGGGCCCGGAGACGCCGGAACCGCGCCGACTCGAAGGACGGAGACGGATAAGAGAGACAAAGAGGCCCAAGGTGGAGGCGAAAGGAAGAGGCCCCTGGAAAGAAAGGCCCGCGGCACTCCTACGTGGGCGTCGCGGCGCTCGCCTCCGCTCGCGACGACGCGGGCCCGGGAACGGCCCCGCTCTTTTCTCCGCTCTCGAAATCCGATATATATACGGACGCGCGCGTCCAGGCTCTCTATTTAAATCCGCCGAGTACCCGCTCTCTCCCTCTCTCTCCAACGGACGTCTCCACGGGTCTCGCTATCTCGCTCCCTAGCACTGGGCACCTTCTTTTCTCTCGCACTCGCGCACTTCCGGAATACCTGCGAGGGCCTCGGGCAGGCTCGGGCAGGCTCGGGCAGGCTCGGTCGACCGGACCTGCGCGCGGGGGATGCTCGCCGACGGACCTGGCTCCGGAGACGCGAGACGCCGGCCAGACGGCGAGAGCGAACGACGAGCCCCTGTCCTGCCTCGCCAGCGGCCGCCGCGACACTGAGCCCCGCGTGGACACCTGTCGACCGCGCGACCGTGCCGCCGCCTGGCGGGCACCCTTCCTCTCGCGCCGGCCAACCCGATGACGCGCGCACCGTGCGTGCGCTGCCCCGCGACCGGCGATCGATCGATCGAATCGATCCCGTATTTCGATTAATCTCTATATTTACGGGCATACCTGGGAAGCCGTCACGGATATTATTTTTCTTTTTGCACCCATATCAATGGTTATTGAATTTTAACGGAGATTTTAAACCTCGGTGGCGCGACCGCCGACCGCGCCGTTTCGAAAGGCCGTTTAATATCGCGCGACGGATCTGTCGTAAAGGGCGCGTTGAAAAGAGAGACCACTCGCCTCTCATTAGTTCTCCCGGCGCGAAAGCGCGCTCATGCGTCGACGAAATTCGCAGCCGAGGGGCCGCCGACTGAAGGGGACCGCGGAGACAAAGGTGCAGCTAGTCGCGAACACGCGTGCGCGCGAGGGCTCGAGAACGCACGCACACCTCGGTGAAAGCGTCGAGCGAACCGAGCGAGCCCGATCGCACGCCTCGCGGGGTCGCGCTCGAACGACTAATCCCGTTCGAGTCGTAATCGCAGCCACCGGGCCCGATTTCGCTCGAGCGGTTTCCCTCCTCCTCCTCGGTCGATCTTGTCCTCGGAGATCAAGAGCGCACCCGGGAAAACCCAGGGAAAGATCCCCTCCCCGAGAAAGAGACACCGTATCCTCGTAGTGAACGAAAATCGAGATTTCCCCCTCCCCTTGTCGAGACACAAAAAATCACCTCTCAGAAGAAATGTTCATCGGAAAGTGCCGGACATCTTTCGTTGGAAGAGTTTCTTTCCATCGTGGACCGTTGCGGAGGAATATCCGGATTTCTAGCGCGGGCTTTAACCGCGCCGGGAGAGGAGTCGCCGGGCGAGGCGCAGGGTCGAAAAGGAAGCGACGACCCCGGAAGCGAGATCGATGCCGGGGGCACGTCCTACGCGTCTCGGCGGAAAACAATAACGCTCTCCGACTCCTCTTATGCGGATCTCGACGCCCCGGGCTTTGAAAAGTCTCTCGCGAGTCCTCCCTCTTTGTCCCCCGGCGCGTGTCTCTGTCGGCGTCTGCAGGCCGTGCATTCGCCGAGTGGGCGAATAAGCCGAGGGTACTCGTCGCGGGGTAAGAAGAGGGTGGCCGAGGGCGAAACCGAGAACGGGGGGCGAAAGCGAGCCGGGGTCTTAAATTTCACGGGCACGGAGAAAGGGGAGAAAAATGAGAGAGCGCACCCCTCGCCCCCGCGAGGCCATTTTAATGACGTCGAGTGCTTGGGGTCGAAACGCCACTTGTCCGTCCGCTGATAAATTCGTTCCGTTTTCGATGCGACCAGAGGAACGAGCGACCAGTTGATACGAAATCGCCCGTAATTACCGGCACCGTAATTACTCGTAACGACGACAAAGTGGGTCTTAAAACCCCCGGGGAGGAGCGAAAGAGAAAGGGAGAGGGAATCGTATTTCAATCCAACAATGCTCTTAATAACGAGCATTATTTCGCGACCGGGAGGCCGCTTAAACATCCCCTGATGGATTTATTAGACGTTTATGCATTTTAAAGAAGCGCCCGAAGACCGACTACAGCCTTACCCCGCTACCGGTTCCTCCGGGGGGACCTTCCGTTCCGGAGTATTTATTCACCCTGCGCGCGCCAAGTGACGATAAATAACGCCGATTAAAAAAATAGAGTGCACCTTAAGACTCGCACTTTACGGTCCGTCCGATGCTCCCGGGGGCAATCGCGATTCAATCCCCGGATAAATTTGTCCGGCGTTCGTGTACGTCGGGGAAGGATTTGCGGCCCGGCCGAGGGGACGGCTCTCTTCCCTTTCCCTCTTTCCCTCTTTCTCTCTTTCACTCCTCCCTCGGCGAATCCCACGGTAGCGAGGATGTCCACTCCGTAAATTAACCCGAATGGAAGTCCGCCTGCGATCGCGTGCCGTGTCCTCGGATTACGCGTTAAACGCCCCGTCGTCACGCGTGTCGCGCGACAAATGCATACAGGTGCATACAGGTGCATGCGAGCCGGAGGTGCCGAAGAGGGCACCGAGGGAAGAGTCAGGACGGGGTTCTCGCACACGACTTACGGGAATGTAGCCATCGGGCCGAGTCCCGTCGGCGTCCCTGGAAAAGAAACGATCCGTTGGCGGGGATGACGATGGGGTTTCCGTCGACGTTTCCGCCGTGACTCTAGGCGGTGCACTTACCCGATCCTTCGCTGAATCACCGGCGTCCTGGCCCTGCCGTCGTGGACGATCACCTGGGTCGCGTCGATCTCCTCGCACTCCGAGCTCTCCTCGGAGGACTCTGAAGAAGAAGAACCGGGGTCAGAACCGAATACCCATAGAAAATTGACCGGACTGATAAAAATCGATGGAAATTTACATACATAGAAATAATTAGTAAAACATAGTAAAGTGGAAAAGCTACACATTGGAAAACGTATAAATACCCGTAACATTGTATATTTAACGCATTAGTGCGCTTTCACGTGGATTAGATGTAATATCACATAATTTTGACTAACTTATGTGTATGTAAATTTGTATATTGATATTTTTATCAATGCAAGGTTCCAGAGGATGACTCACCCTTTCCGAAGAGTCGCGAGGTAACCGGGCCGCGGGTGGGCTCCTTGACCTCGCCCAAGAGGTCGTCGATGTCCCTCCTCTCCCCGATGAAGAGAGGGAGGTTCGTGGGCCTCTTCCTAGGCGGCGGCCTCCTCGGCGGCAACTTCATCGAGGACCTCGAGTCGTCGTAGGACGACTCCCTGGCTCGATAATCGGTGTCGGGCGGGTCCGGAGGGTTCTCGATCTGATAACAGGAGGAGTAGAGGATGCGTCAGAGCGAGAGGACACGTTTCCGGGATCCTTATCGTCCTATCGCGGCGAATCGCCCTCCCCTCGGGGACGACGATGCCACGGAGATCGTCGATCGCGAGGACTCGAACAGTCCATCGATCCTCGATAAGGACTCTTCGCAGGGGGTAAGTCCCCTTACCCCTTCGGGGCTGGCCCTGTCCCCTAGAGGTTCCTCGGCTGGGGGGGCGAGGCTGGTGCCGAGTCTCTCGATGTCGACCCTCTCCAAGGACTCCGACGACGCGGAGTCACTGCGAGAGCTCTCCTCAACGGGTATCCTCTCGACCCCGTCGGGGACGTTGGACGAGCTGTCCAGCCACCAGGGTTTCTCCCCCGAGTCGAATCGACGGACCCCCAGGGTTCTGGGCCGGTCTTCGGCCTCGGGTCCTGGAGTGCCAGGACTCGGCGTCGTCCTCTTCGGGGACGGCCTCGCCACTGGGATGACCTCGACCCCCTCGGGCACGCTGTCCGGGTCCTCGCTCATCCACCAGGCTCGCTCCCCGGACTGCTGGTGTCGAATGCGAGTCCTGGCCTCGTTGAGGCCCCCCGCCATGGTCTCTCTCCTGGACGGCGACGCCGAGGTCCTGTCCGGGCGGCTCCTCTCCTCCTCGGCGTCCCGGCTCCTGGCGTCGGCGCCGGACCCGTCCTCGCCTCCCTCGAGCCACCAGGCCTTCTCTCCCGAGTCCTGACGCCACACTCTAAACTTATACTTTCCTGAAAACGAGAGACAATTGTCAGTGCCAAGACCGACGTCGACTAACGACCAGGTGGGCGTATCTCGGATTTTCGCACCAGTGGCTACGCCTTGCCGACCGCAGGGGCTGATTCACGTGGAGAGATAATTCGGGAATCCTGGGACAGGTGTATTTCGGGGAGGGTGTCGCTGCCAGGTCCGGATCTCCCGCCTCCGGTCGAGGGTTACTCACCGTCGTCCGGCAGCGCCGCGCTGATCGTGGTGTCCTGACTGACGTCGTCGTTGCAGCCGACGGCTTCTGGACCGCAGTCCGACTCGGAGTCCACCCAGCCCCGGTCGGTCTTCTCGCAGCTGGACCGAATTCCGTTGTCGACCCAGCCATTCCCGTCGATCCTGGCACCAGGAGCGACGCGTCTCCTGCCATCCTCGCCGCCATCCGCCGAGCTGCCCCGACTGGGGTTCCGGGATGGACCTCTGGAGACCGACCCGATCACTGCGTCCTTGGGCGACTCCTCGAGGTCCTGCTGTCTGCTCTTGAAGAGGGTGGCCACGGGAGCCAGGGCCCTCGCCAGGAAGGACTTGGCCTCCTCGGTCTTCCTGCATCGCTCGCGCCTCGACCTGGGACTCGACGGCGGCCTCGGGGGCCGATCCGAGGTCAGGGGCAGCTCGTCCGCCGAAGACGCCTGCAGGCTGGCCCTGGAAGACCCGTCGCTGCTCCTGCCCTCTCGACCTACCACGAGGATGATCGAAGGTTAGAGAAACTAAGACCCCAAAGAAGGTGCCGAAGACCCACCTTGAACCGGAGAGCCCGAGGTCCTCCTCCTGCGTCGTCTGGGGCTGCCCCTGGACCTATTCGCGACTTCGGCGTCGGCGACGATGCCCTCGCCGTCCTCCTCGCCACTCGATGACGTGGTACCACTGGACTCGTCGTCGCTCTTCGGTCTGCGACTCGGCGAGGTCGAGGGTCCCCTTCTCCTCCCAGAAGCCGAAGAGGACTTCTGGGAGGCGTCCAAACGCGACGTCACCGGTGTCGCGACGCGTGGCTCGGCGCAAGGAGGGGACTCCGCGGACCTAGAAGAGGCGGTTGCAGGCCTCGAGCTGGAGGTCGAGGTCCCGGACCTTGAGCCCAGGGACCTGGCCGAGGGCGCCGGCTCCGAGCCCACCTCGGAGTCCTGCGAGCTCGCCGAGGCGCTTCTTCGAGCTGTCCACTTCTGGGCACGCGCGACCTCGGCGCCGCTCTCCATATTCAGGACCGACTTCCGAAAGTCCTTGTTGACGTACTTGCAGATCGGCCCCAGGCCCTTCGCATTCACTGCTGCGTCGTTTCTCGGCACCGGCGGCTTGCCGAGCGCCGCGTCGGGCGAAGCGCCCTGCCTCGTGCACCCTAAGGTGCCCTGGCCGTCGCGACGCCGCCTTGACGTCGACGGCGGAGATGGCGGCGTCGGCGACGGGGTCGGTGTTCGGATTTTCGTACCAAGACTCGCCGCCGGCGAGGGGGACTTCGTCGCGACCTCGCCGGACCTCGCCTGGCGAGGCGGCAAGGACCTCGAAGAGTCCTCTGCCTCTGACGTCGGGGTCTTTCTCGAAGTCCCACTTCCTGGCTTCCGGAGACCGGTGGGACTCTCTCCGGGTGATTGTCGGCGGGATGCGGGACTAGAATTCGGAATCCGCCCTGGAGAACGGGTGCCATCCTCCGCCTCGGACCTTGAAGAAGGCCTGGAAGAGGCTCTCGAAGAGGGAACGTTCGACTCCACCTTCGACCTCGAGGCGTCGTCCTCGCTAGTCGGCGACCTTCGACCCTCGGAATTAGATACAGCAGTTCTCCTCGAGGCTGGCAAGGTGACGGTCCCCTCCTCGGCTCGAGGTCGCCTCTGGTCCGGAGACCTCGAGACCGACCCTATCTGCCGCGCGCAAGGTCTGCCCTCGGAGCTGCTCCTCGACGACGTCCTCTGACTAGAATTCTGCTCGCAGGAGGATTCGCGCGCCGTGTCGTTGGCCCGTGGCTTCTCAGGACTCTGCGTCTTGGTCCTGGCCTGGTTCCGGATCCTGGACCGCGAGCCCTCGCTGGAGGCTGGCGAAATGTCCTCTCCTCGAGGTCGCCTCTGGTCCGGCGACCTCGAAACGAGGCTCTGTCGAACGCAAGGCCTCCCCTCGGAGCCGCTTCTGGACCTCGCGTCTCTCGGCGGCGTTCTTTGACTAGAATTCCCTGAATTTGCTGTCTCCTCGTGGTGGTTCCCGAGGGCGCTCTCGTTGGGCCTTGCGAAACCAAAGGCTCCGATCCTCGAAGAGGTGGAGTTGTATCCCCTGGACGAGTACCCGACGTTGCCGCTGCTGGGCGAGGAGTACTTGTCTCGGTAGGAACTCCAGGCTGTCCCGGGGAAGGTTCTCCCTCCAGTGGAACCAACGTTACTCTCGGCCCCATTGACATATCTGGGGAACTTAGGAGCGTCCTCGACACGATCGGCCTGTATCTCCTCGTCTTTGGTCTCCAGCTTCGCCCGGGAACCGTTCACCTCTTTCTGAACCACCTTGATGGCGTCGGTCCGGCCTGACCTGACGTACGTCGTGGTGGTGGGAGGAGTAGGAGACGTCCCCCGCGTCACCATGGTCACCATCGTAATGCCGCAATTTCCTTCCGGATCGTTTTCCACTCTTCTGCTCTCGTTTCCCGAGGACTTCGCCGGGCTCTCCTTAATCCTGCTCCCCGGAGGTCCGTCGCTCGTGGAGGTCGTCTTCCCGTTTCGATCGTCCTCTTTAAGCGCCCGTTCTCCACTGCTTGCTCGGAACCGCTGCGAGCTCGGGTACGACCCCGAGAACTTGGAGCTGGGTGCGCCATACCTCGAAGAGGAGGACGAAGACGGTGTCAGGCTGGAGTCTCGAGTGCCTGGAAACGTGGGAAGCTTTAGATACCCGATAGCCAAGAATTGTGTGGCCTCGACTTACTTAGGGACGCGTTCCTGTTCGCCAAGGAGGAGATCCTGGAGTAGGTACCCAGGGACGAGGCCCACTTCGACGGCTTGACGTCCTCCTCCGGACTGGGATCTCTCGAATTCTTCCCAGAAAACGCCCTGGTCGTTCTCTGACGAGGTATCGAGCTATCCTGTCTGTCTTTCCTCTCTAGGCGCTCCTCGCTCCCGAAGGACCTCCCAGGACGCGACCCTGGATACGTGGATGAGCCGAATCTACTTCCTCGGTCCCTCGCCGTGGATTCGGTTTCCGAGGGCTTCTCGTCCCGGGATACACCTCGAGAGTATCTTCCCAGAAGGGAGGAAGATCGCTCCGAAGTTTTCCCGTTCCCTGGGTCCCTGAAGGACCGTTTCTCCAGCAATGGGGTCCTGCTCGAGCTGGACGTCGAGCCATCCAGGCTGATCTCATCCGTGGACCCTCGTCGACCCAGAGACGAGCTCCTCTCCGAGTCTCTTGAGCTCGAGACCTCTGGGGAAAAAAAATGCGATATATTTTCCTGTACTTCTCCACATCTATCTTACGCTGGTTACCGCAACCGCCTATCCAGGTTGCCCCAAAATAATTTCCATAAAAGTGGTTTTTTCATTATTCTTTTTTTCTTTCCTGTATATTTCTACCTTCTACATTTCCTCACCGGAAGGTCTGTAGGTCGATCTGGACTCGGCGAGTCGATCTCTCTCGGTCTTCGCGAGTCGGGATCCGTACGTGGTGAGTCCAGCGCCGATGGACCGATCCCTGCTGGTGGGCCTGGAAGTGCTGCCGACGAAGCCGCTGTTCCTGTAGGTGGAAGCTGCTCCTCCCGTCCCCAATCCAACGGCAGCCGATCGGTAGCCGATCCCGGAAATGCCCTGAAAGCCGAGTTGGTCAATCCCTCTAGCTCCACTATTCGTCCCAGATACGTGGCGAGCGTTTTCCGCCGTTCGATCTCTATCGACTCGTGGCGATATTGGCTTTGACAGGGTGAAAACACGCGAGGGTGTGCCCAGACCTGCTAACTCTTAACTCGAGCTGCCAAGTCGGTTGCCGACTCGAGTGTCGAAAGTCTCGGCTGCCAATTTGGCGCGCCGAAGTGGCGAAGGGGTTACGTGGGTTTCCGATCGGACATCTCGAGAGACCGTTTGCGTCCACGCGAGAGAGAGAGCGATCGGTCCCGATCACGGGGAAGTTAATTCCGAGCACGGGGAATGCGTTTCCTAGGTCGCTGTCGCGGAAATTCCCTACTCGGCCGAGCGACTCGAATTCCCGACCGGACGTCTTGGGCATCGATCGGTGATAGGGAGACCTGATATCGCTAGTCGGTCTATACAGAAGCAAAAATGATAATTCGTTCGATTAGAGCTGGCAGAGTGCCCTGTGCTCGAAATACGTGCAAAGCCTGCCCGGGAGTAATAACCTTTCCGTTTCCACGTCTGTAAAGGGATCTTGCACTCGGAAGGCGCCTTCCGCCCGAAATCCTCCTCGAGAGACGGCGAGAAGCTATTCGCGACTTGGCGGATCCGCCAAACCCCTCGCGCCCTTTAAATCCCTCGCTAGGGAGCCCGGGATTCGAGTTTCGGTGTCGTTCCTAGGTTAAAGAAATTCTTTTTCTCCTCTAGGTCTCTTCCTAGATCTTTTCGCTTTGCCGAGCGCGCAATGGGCCTTTATAGGCGTGCGCAAGGATAGGGTAGGATTAATCTCGCGTCATTAGAGAGCAAGCAGGATATGTGGCACTCTCGGTGCTTGATGAGGATATGCTCGGTCGACGTGCACTGATATTACCAGAGGGTCGGAATAATTGAAGAGTGTCAGCTCGATTTAACCTCTGCCCATTACTCGGCGCATTATTCTAATTTATGACGCGCGGCACCAGCTGTTAAGTCCGCCGATCTGCATCGCGAAGTCTCGATTCAGCGATCCAGGGAAATGGACCTCCAGGAGGGTATCTTTACGGATTAATTTCAATATTTCATGCTAATCCCAAGTGCAGCGGTTCCGTCGATGCTTACCGTCGGATTTCATCGACTCGCTCGCCAGAAATAGTTGAAGGTTAATTTTTCATCGTTATTAAACAAACCGAGGTCGGACGGCGCGCGTCCCTCCCGTCCACGGGGAACAACAGAGCAATCATCGGCCGGCAAAAGTGCAGCTGCAAGGTGCTCCCCTTATTTATTAATTTACAATGCGCCGAGCAGGGTCCTCGGGATTGTGATCGATCGGGGATTCCGCGGCGAATTGGCCGCGGACCGCAAACCCGGCCATTATTTCTGCCCCCTCGAGGCGTATGCGTGTACACGCGCACGCAATGCACGACCTAATAGAGCGGATCGAGTGCAGCGCATGACTTTAGAGCTCCACAAGCGGCTCTCTAAACTAAACTATGACCCGGTCCCTAGAAGCCGTGCAATGTCATCAGTGGTGCATGCAAAGTTCTTCCCCCTCCCGTCGATGACCTCGAACTGCATTTCCTCATCTTTTTTCATGATCACTTTCCTGAACTTCGGGACTCCTAGCCTCTCTTTTTAAATCAAATTGACAAGGCCACACATCATGCGCGCGCCGAAGAGAATTCACAGACATGACAAGAAATTTGCTGGAACCCTTGAAAACGGGCCAATAATATTTTTGTTATATTGATAAGAAAGAAAAAAAATTTATTACTTCGCTTCTTTTCTAGTGACAACAAAGGGTACATATATCGCTCGTTCGTTTCAGTGACAAGAATATTTTTTGGCGGTTGCAACAAATCCATTTGCTAATTTAGCAAGTATTTCTTCTAAAGAGATCTCGCCGGTGGTTACATCTATGATTCGATGTAATTGCAAGAGATTCTTGTTGTCGGTGTGATTATTCCCGCAGAAAGGACGAAACTTCATATATAAGCAACGCTGTTCCTTGCTGAATGTGCAAATGTCTTTTTTCCGTGCGGTAAACGGCGTCCACCACTCGAGAGTTAAAAAAATTGGGAATACAAGAAAGAGCCTTGTTATCGGGCCGAATCAAGGTCTGTCGAGATCGAGGTGGGGAATGATAACAAACAACGACGAGGACCGGAGTGCATCCGCTGACGAACTGCGTGATCGCGAGAGAATTGCACGAAATTAGCGTCAAGAGGAACGGATGACGAAGCGGAGGATTAAGTGGAGAAAATCGAAGTCGAGCCGCCAAAGAGGCGCGTCCACCTTGAGGACCTCCGTCGAGGGGCTATTCACTCGGAAATCATTTAATCGATTTCCTCCCTTAAAAGCCGATTGCCATTAATTTCATATGATAGCAATGAGATTTAGCAATAAGGAACGATTGGCCCTAAAATTATGACATTGTTTTCGTGGTTTCAAACAATTTCCAGTGATATGTGTTTGGGATTTCCAGCTGACATCGTCATGAGTTCGGGCGTTAAGATCCATGATTTTCTGAATATCCCCTCGACCTCGCTCTTGGAATTGGCTGGCTGGTCGAATTCGCTCCTGGTCCCTCCCTTCGCTCCCTTCGACTCCCGATCTACTATCTAGGCACGTTAATAACTCCTCGTCCGTACATCTCCGTGCGACTAATACCCTCAGGAACGCGACTCGTGCCTGGCGCGGTTCATCGTCTCCTGCGTTTAAATATAGTCCGGGGTCCTCGTCTTTATTTCCTGGAGTCTGAGAGGTACCCTCTGGTTATTGTTCCTGTTTCTATCGGGCGAAAATAAGGGCCTAACAGGTGGGCGAAAGGGGATTTCAAAATCACACCTGAGAGAGTGGGAAAATCAGGAGTTCCAGTCAGAGTGCAAGGTGTTCTATGCGACACCTCAGGATGGGGTCTTTTCTTTTTCGGAAGTTCAGAGCCTGGGGAATCGTTTTATGGACGCTTCCCTGATCGAGGGATCGACGGATCGAAGGATCTAGGAAGTGGAACCGAATCGCACCACTCGCTTCTAAATTTATTCGGCGAGCGTGCGCCGTGCACGCCTCCGCGCGTTGCACGCACGTTCGGGGGTCCCCGAAACGCCGCGGCAGACGCAGCAATTACGGGAGCTCGCGAATCTCTCGGCAAAAACGTATCCCACGGCCGCGCATGAATGGAAATACGGAAATTGAGCCCGGGGCAAGCCGTCTCTGTTGGAAGTACGAGGGAGAAAACTCGAGAAATCGACGAGGAGCTTAAAATAGCTCCTCGAAAGCACGGCGAATAGACTGTCCAATTTTGCTAATTAAATTTCTTCCCCGCGTGAAATAATCGCGTACGGACGAAGAGAGCTTCCCGAGAGCCGCGGAGGATGTACCACCTTGGACTTGAACGTGCCACGGAGCTTTATTTGTCATCCGGAGAAAATAAGTCCACTCGAGGACGTATTTTTAACGCAGGTCCTGCGTACTCGACGCGCCTCGCGTTGCTCGAATGTCCTCCCGGTCCACCTGAAACCGCGTCTCGTCCACCGAGGTCACTAACCGAAATCCCCTCGTACTCCATCCCCCACGTTTGACACCGGCCCAAACGAAACAAGCCGCGTTAAACGAAGAAAATACTCCGATGGGCGTCCTTCCCTCCATCCGCGTTTCCCTTGGTTCCCTCATACCGGGATACAATGAGTCCAAAAGGAGAGACAGCTCGCCACCGTTTCTGTAATGGCAAAAATAGAAGCGCAGGCAACCCCTCGACGAGTTCGTCTCTCCTGAGCGTCAGGTAGAGGTGGACAGAAAATCGACCGATCTGACCTAGGCTCAGCCAGGGGTTCAATATTTGAGAAAGCAGGTTAATCGTCACTCCACTCCTGGCACTCGAAACGTTCGCAGTCGAAGTTCGGAGGGAACGGTCGAAAGGGTTAATCGTAACGTTAAGAGTTAGGTAGAGAAGTGGAGGATCCTCTTCGGGGACCTCTTTGGGGTCTCGACTTACGTAGCTCCTGTAGGACATCCCGGGGCCTTGGCGCAGGGGGCGGACAGGTGCGGCTCCACCTGCGCGACCTGCAGCACTCGGGTCGCCGGGACCGCGGCGTCGCGACGCGCGAATCGAGGAGACGCCCGGAGGTCGGCGACGCTCCAAGTCGAACGACCGGGGCGAGTAAGAGCGACGTTTCGCCCGAGGCCCGGACCCTGAAGAGCCGGCGACCCGCGGGTCTTTCCTCTCTCTTTCTCTCCCTCGCTTTCCCGCCTTTCCTTCGGTGCGTCTCCGTCGGTCCTCCCTCTCGCTCGCGATAGACGCTCCTCCTTCGCTCGCTCGTGCGAGCTCTATTTTAAGAGTACGCAGCTCGGCTCCTTCTCTCTCTCTCTCCCTCTGTTCCTCCGTCCGTCTCTTAGTGCTCTCTCTTTCGGCACGCGAGTGTGCGTCGATGCGTGCGACAGAGCGGAGAGACCGCGAAGACGCTGATGGGGATGATGATGAACTGCCGGAGCTATTGTCGTAGGGTATACGCGTCGTCCGGAAGGAGGAGAGAGAAATATGAAGACTCCGATGAGGGCGATGAGGAAGCGTTCGAGTCCTCCAGGGGGAGATCCCCGTAGATGCCGAACGGGTTGACGATGACTTCCCTGGAAAGAAATATACAGGGGATGAGAGGCCCCTCCCTCGACTTATCGTTACCTTCTCAACCGTCTTCTACGTCTCCCTCGCAATTTCTAGCAATCTCGAGACATCTGCCTCGACGTCCGACGACTTCTAAAGGTCCGCCATTTCGAATCGCCTCGCTGCCGATAATTTCAGGCCGCAAATAAACGTCCAACTGCGCGCATCCGTCCGCGCTCTCGGATGCGAGACCACGAGGAAAGAGACGGAGAACATCTCTCGTGATTCCACGCGTTTCCACCCTCTGGAAGCAAGAAAGCAAGAAATAACAGCCGGCCGTAAAACAACCAAGATACGTGTCCTCGCTTCAACCCGTTACCCGAAATTCGAGAAATCACCTCCTGGTCCACCTTCTTCATCCCCCACCGCCGAAGATGAAACACCTGAAACCAATGAACATTTTCATGCGATCCATACATTGATATTATCTAATAATTCATTGTTTACCTTGAATATCGTCCAACGCTTCCGCGGCATGAAAGGTGCCGCCAGCTGTTGGATACTCGATGAACTTCCCAGCATTTTTAGCCTCTGCCGAAGAACCAAAGTGTCGCCGACCGTGCTGAACATCTTTTCGTGACCGAAAGTCGGAATTGGTTGACCGATGCCAGGCTACATGAGCTAGAACATAAACGTTTTACCAGCTATTGCGGAGACTTCAACGCGTGGCCCGACGTCGCCACAAGATGGCGCTACCTATCTCGTCCACAGCCGCGTTTCGCCGTCTCTTCTTTCCGACCTATCCATCGAGTTACTCGAAATTCCTCCTGGGCAAGATTAGATGGCATTGCGTACATCGTTCCTTCCCCATTACTCATTTAAAAAGACGGTACACGATAGCACTATCATTTATTAAAAAAGATCGAGTCAGCAGGACCATCCATCATCCCACGCGATTTGGATGCTGATCGTTTCGATCGCCCCCTGCCAAAACTCTGAGACACAAGTTGCTAATCCTGACGAGGCGTATTAACAATAATAGCGGGAGATAGTCATTGAAGGTGGGCGATTAAAAATAAAGTCGCTTTGTCACGTCGCTTTTTTTTTTTTCACGATCCACGGGGGCGTCCACGGATCTCTTCGGCGTGAGATCTCGCCAGCGTTTCGGTGCCGGTGACTCATACGGCGCAACGAATGACGAATTATTATATCCGCGGTTGTATATTACTTTCTACAGCTTAATATAGTTTATTAATAGTGCATTCCGCGGCCTCGCGGCGGAGCATAACGCCGGCCACGTCGTCTTCCTCCATTGTCGCGGAAATAGGATTCGGGCTAATTCTGCTTTTCGGCCTTTTGACATTCCTCGGCCGGGCGGTTTAGGTGATTTTTCATTTCTCCCCGGTGAGCCGGCGTGGAATCCGCTTTTCCTGGTGTCAGGTTACAGCACACCCATCACGGTTCTCCGGGAAAGAATCGGCCATCGGATTCTTCACCGCCTGGTATCCGTCATCGGTCTCGCGATTCCACGTCAGGATGCTCGATCTCTCCACGTATCACCTGAAAAGGGATAAAGAAGAATGGGGAGTAATCGTGGAATTAATTGGTCCCTCCTCGCATCCTTGAATCGGTTCCCTCTCTCTCGCGCTTGTTCCCATTTCGCGCTCCGGTTCGCCGAACAAGGGTGTTTACGAATAGCGGGCCACGAGTCAAGATCTCTCCCCGAGTCGCTGCGCGAGTTCGGAAGAGATTCGGTCCGCGAGACTCGGGAGGTTATATTTAGGGAATTGGGCCAGCGGAACGCATCGGAAGCTCTCGAACCGCCGTTCGTCCTTAAGGCTCGAGACTGGCAGTCGCCATTTTGGGGCCGCTATTCAAGGCCGCCACCGAGGTCGGAGGTGAACCGCGTAAAACAGGGTCGCGCCTCGAGGACGAGGTACCAGGGATCGAACTCTCGAGTTTCATACGGACTTTTTTCCCACATACCGAATATTTTCCACATGAAAAATGTCAGTTGCAAAAGTCATGTCAGTTGCAAAAGTCATGTCATTGCTCGATATCTCAAAGTCGTGTACGAAACAGTCAATTTAGTACGGGAAAATTGATCGTATGAACTGGAGAATCGGGTCCCAGGTGGAGACCACTGGGTACCATCTCGGTACCATGTCGTCGATCAAGGTCGCCTCCTGGGTCGAAGTCGGACATGAGAAATCGAGGTCGTAGGAGGGTTTGACGGGCCCGAAGACTCGTGGGGCGGCTCGCGAGAAATAGTTCCCGCTGGAAGCTGCGTTTCTTCCTAACGAGCTTAGGGCAAGCCTCGCGGTGGTTGCGCAAATATAAGGAAGTCCTACGAGCGGCTCGCCGGTCGGCTCTCCTCGGCACCCGAAACCAGAGTTATTCTGGGCACCGCGGACACGTTAATGCACGGAATTCTCTGCCAGAGCTCGCCACGAGAGCTCGCGCTAACAACCCCGAAGAGCGAGGAAGAACGACTCGGAACGGAACGAGAGAGGCCAATCTCAAATTACTCGTGCAGCTCTAGCTAGCCAGAGCGCACGTCTTCGAGGCTTACCGCCTCTGCTCGCCCCGACCTTTTATAGCCACTCCGTCGGTACTGACGGGAGGGAAGGAATCTGCGGGAAATTCAGGAAAGTCCTGCCCATGGACCTTCGTCCTGGGTTTCCTTCGCGATAGCCCATCGCCGACGCGTCGATCCCTTTCCCCGGCGCCCTGGACTTCCGGCCCGGAAGAACACCTCGAAGACCCGAGGACAACCACAAATCCATCAGCGCACATGTCATGCCACGCTACAGCCCGATTTATTAATACCTTATTAATTTATTAATAATCCTCAGGGTATCGGTAACGCCGCGGGGACATCCCGAGGATGTCGGAGTACCTTGTCATCGGCTGTTTTCGTACGGGGGGTATTTTTAGCCGGACATTTCTCCGGCGACGTGCTACCGATACTCGACGGCCGCGAGGCTGGGAAATAGCAAACCGGGTGACAAGTGTTTGGGCTATCGGCCCTGCTTATAGATACCCGGATGGGACGTCGTTGTTTATCGCGATCCCGGAACCCGAAGTAGCTCTCTCCCCGGGGGTGTCCCTGAAATCTTCGAGATGCTCCCTAAACCCTGGGAGGATTTCCACCCAGGTGGGCACTCGCCCTCCGTTCCGTGATTCTTGACACGTCGAGGTAGAGTGCCGAGATGCCTTCCTCCGACTTTGACCCAGTGGTTCGCGTACCCGGGAAGTCTCCGTTGAGAGAGTACAGAAGTCCGAGAGGACTTCCACTCCACCTGCAATCGAATTTCGTATGAATTAATCTGATATATTCGTAGCAAAGTGGGACGGCAATCGAGAGAGAGGTTGAAACGAGAAGTGGTCCAGTCGGGGCCATCTTGCGACGTGTCACCCCACGCCTACGCACCCCGTCTGTTCCGGACAGCTTTCGACAAATCGCCACCCTGAGCCAAGTCGGCCCTCTCCTGGTACTAATGAGACATCGGGTACAGGTAAAAATCGGGGCCTTAATTGAACGGTCGAGATCTGAAATTTCGGCGGGACGTTTCGCGGCACCCACGCACCGGAGGATTCCGGGCGAGGCATCCGGTAAGCCCGGCCTCTTCTTGGCGGTTCGAGTTCCTCGGGGGCGGTAAATGGCGGAGGCAGCGCGCCAGAGTGGAGGCAGAGTGGAGGCAAAGTGGGGCGCATGCGTGGCCGGTGATTTTGACGGTGCCATGAAGCGGCCGGCGCGCCATACGAACGACGACGGGTCGCGCACTACGAGTAGGGCGCTGGTCGGCTCCGAAACCCTCGAAACGCGAAGAAGAGGCTCGACTCGTGCACCGACGACCCCGCGAGGAGGAGACGAGCCGACTTTCCGGAGCACCTACGCGCGCCCCCGAAGAAGAGGGTCGCCGACACCCCGCTGACCAGGCCGACCTGCTGACCCGTTGACCAAGGGTCAAGAGCCCGCGTCCTCGCGACCCGACCCCACGTCCTCGGCAAGGAATCGACCTCGGCCAGGTCGGCGCCGCCCAGGAAGACGCGCCTCTCGGTGACAGTGCGAGTTTGACGAGGGCGCAATCGACAAGCGGGAACCATGGCTTCTTCGGCGGTGGCCAAGAGCTCCAAGTACACCTACCGCTCCACCGGCGGAGGCTCTGCCGACGTCAGCATCGAGTACAGCGCCGACCTGAGCGCTCTCTCCAGACTCGAGGTAGGAACCCCGAATTTACCGCGATCCAAGTCCGCCGAAGCGTTCTCCAGCGCCGCCATTTTGGTTCCCGCGCGAGCCTCAAGAGACCCCGAAAGGAACGATCGGACGGCCTTTTCGGCGATTTCTTTCAAGTAGAATCGAATCGGAGACAAGAGGCGGACTTTTAGAAACTCAAATTCGGTGTAGAGTCCCTCGGTTGGATAAATTCTTAGAGTAAAGTCTCTTAGATAGGGTCTAAGATCGGTCCCTAGAGGGGCTAAGGCGGTAAGGTGACTGACCGCCAATAAATAGATGGATCTGTAGATCGTCAAGGTAAATTTATGCACAGACGTCAGTGCCAAAGGAAGCGATTTGCAGAGTCGATATAGTCGACCGTTGTATTGTGGTCATTAAATCATTCACAAGAAAAACGGCAATCGGAGAGACCTCGAACTTGGGATAGATGCGGGGATGGATATCGGGCGATCTTTACAGATATCTTGGGTGGTTTAGATCTCTTTTGATTGCCTTTTCCGACACCTTGGGCCGTCTCTTTGCCATTTTCGAGATACCAGGCCCGAAGGAGATATTTCCGTCCCCGCGTTACGTAAAGGCCGAGTAGCCTTGCCGCTTCCGCTGCGAGGCTACTCGCGTTTCACAGGGCGAAACCGTCTAAGGCCGCATTCCTCGTTTCCTTTTGCAGGACAAAATTCGTCTCCTGCAGGATGACCTGGAGTCCGAGAGGGAGCTGCGCCAGAGGGTAAGCGAGACCAGAACCGATAAAATACTCTATTCAAAGTCCGATCGAATCATCAATCGATTGGGGTCGTACCGGAAACGCCGTAAATTTTTCTAAAAAATTCTCACGGGGTGTTTAGTGTTAATCGATCCGTTAATTAAATTCTGAAGGGCTCTAAAAACCTCTGACCGTTGACATTCCGCGTTACCCCCGGAAAAACCGCGAGTTCCAGGGCCGGGAAACGCGAGACGGCCGTCCGGGCCGTGGAAGGAGAGGCCGGATTATTTTCGGAACTCGGTTATCGAAATATCGTGATTTTCTCGAATGAGAAAGGACGTCTCCCGGCGCCTCTCGGGGAGGGGAGTGGGCTAAAATGTCCAGATCGCGTCGTTTCTATTTCGGGGATGCGCCTGCGGCGTCCTTTGCCGAGAGCTCTCCCCGTTCAAACATTCCTTCGTCGGGTCCATAAATCGCGAGCGATTATCGCCGCCATGATCGGATGCATAACCGAAGATCGCATAAAAAGTCGGGGGATTAATAATTAAAAAAAAAAAATAAAAAAAGAAACCACACCTCTTCCCTGGAATTCCGGAAAAGGGAGCGACCCCGATTTCCCTCCAGATTTTCAGGCTTGAAAATCGGGAGGGACCGCCGGAAATCCCATCTCCCAAATTTTCCCTCTCGCATTCGCGATAAACGTTCACTCTTCGTAACACGAATAAAGATACGGATATAGAGCCGGCCCTCCGAGTTTAGATCGTGCTATTCGCGGGCTAAAGGGGCTGACGTCACGCGTGCCCGAGACGAATCTACACGTCGCGTTTCGACCCCTTCCGCGAGCCGAGACCGGGTCGAGGCTTTTTTCATTTCTTTTTCTTCCTCGAAAATGCAGAATCCCCCTCGAAATTTCAGATCGAACGAGAGCGGGCCGATCTGAGCGTGCAGGTGATCCAGCTGTCCGAGCGCCTCGAGGAGGCCGAGGGTGGAGCCGAGTCTCAGGTGAACGACCGGAGGAAAGATCTAATTAATCAATTCTCCTCCTCCTTATCTCTCTGACGTTTACAATGATCCATGAAATTAAGCTAAGTTACGCATCTGAAGACGAATGCCTTGCACGCGCTTGAAGACGTACACCCGGATTTTTGGACGCGGACGAATTCATGCAATGATCGAGGGATCGATCCGATCATTTGTTTGTAAACGTGATAACGTCATCCACGTCCGTTCGATCCATTGCGAGGTGTCATTTATAAATTCATATCTGTATGCGTTCGTGCTCAGATGTGTACCCAAGATCAGACATCCTCCACCCCTTTGGTTCTCGACGCGGAGTGAAATTGGAGTGATAAAAAGAGGGGCTATTCACTCGGAAATCAGTGATAACGATTTCCATCGTTGAGGATCGATCGCCTTTGATTGCGTGTCATAACAATGCGACTCGTTAACAAGTGACAGTCGGCCTTAAAATCGTGGCGATGTTTCGGTGATTTCCAACGATTTCCAGGGATTTCCCTTGCGATTTCCGTATGATTTTCGCATGATTTCGAGGATTAAGATCCATGATTTCCTGAGTGAATATCTCCTTGGTCAGGGCCGGAAAGGTCTAGATCCCTCCCCTAAGTACAAGCCGGAATGTAATTCCCGCAGTTCGAGATCAACAAGAAGAGGGACACGGAGTTGGCGAAGCTCCGCAAGCTCCTGGAGGACGTCCACCTAGAAAGCGAGGAGACGGCCCACCTTCTGCGCAAGAAGCACCAGGAGGTCGTGGTCGACTTCCAGGACCAGATCGACCAGCTCTCGAAGGCCCGAGCTAGGTGGGTATACGTGATCCCCGAGATGTCCCCCATCTTCGGGTCCGACTTCCGGATCGCGATCTCGGTGACAATCGTATTTACGCGTCTTATTTATCGGCGCTGACTCGTCCCCCTCGTAGGTACGCGTGAATCACGGGAAACCGTGCGCCGTCGTGTTAAATATAGACCCCGGGGTGGCGAGAAGTCTGAAAATTTCCTCGGATTATGCTCCTAGGACTGGCCGGTGTCCAAGCGCAGAAGTCCGCGCACCTGAAATACATAGAGAGTGGTCCCTCGGTGTCTAAACATAGTCCGGCGTTCCGGTGCGCCCCGACGTAACCGGCATAACCGGCGTTACGGAACCGGCAAAAGGAGGATCCCCTCGATTACGCTAAACCGGAGAAAAGTGCCTCCAAAGCGTGGCGATTCCACCTCCGGGGAAGTTCGAATAGTTCCCAGTCCGAATAGTTCCAAGCTCGGCCGCTCGAGCGCTGCAGAGGCGGACCGCGGCGCAGCTTCCGAGCCCCGGAGAAGGCTCGGTCGGGTTTTCTCCGGTTTCTGCGGAATTCGGAATAGCGGGCACGATGGTGGACCTCGTTAAAGCCGCGCTCTCGACTTCGGTCTCCCTCCCGTGGCCCCCTCGGCTTACAACTATTTTTAACCGGGCGAGTCGCGAGCAATCCTGAACCCCAAGTCGGCGCGCCATATTAGTCCACGCTACCGGACCGAATCCCCACTATCCTCGGGATCGGTCCACCGACACCTTACACCCTCCTCCGCGCGTAGGTGGATCAAAGTGTCGTAGGAATTTTCGCCGAGCCGGACAAAAGGACGGGAATTTCGCTAGACGGAGGCCGAGGGTCCATGCATCCCTTGCTCCTCGCTCATCCCCCAAGATCCGAGATTAGGAACTCCTCTACGAGGAATTATATGAGAAAAAGCCGGAACGTATAATTAGGCACGGTCTAAACTTCCGGCGCCTTCGGAATTGGACCGTCGACACCTTATACCCTCCTCGCCGTAGGTGAGGGGGGACTCGTGGGAATTCTCGCGCCAGAGGACACGTCTCGGGGATATTCTCGTTCCGAATTCCCAACACGCTCCGAAAATAAAAGATTTGTTGGACGTTCCTCCGGATCGTTGATTTAAGGACCAGGGACTGCCTTGGCCCTTGGGTCGTCGACGCCTCGATTGTCTTCCGCACTCGTCGAATCTTCATCTCGGAGGGTGGAGGCTCGCCATATTTCACCCTGTTTCCACATCCGAGATGAACCTGGAAGGAATAATTAATGACGTCACCTTTCGTTCTTCAGGGCCGACAAGGAAAAGTCGAAGTTCCAGCAGGAAGTATACGAACTGCTCGCGCAAATCGATAATGTCACGAAGGAGAAGATACTCTCGATCAAGACCGTCGAAAAGTTGGAGATCCACGTTTCTGAATTGAACGTCAAGATCGAGGAGCTGAACCGTACTATCGTCGACATCACCAGCCACAAGACCCGTCTTTCCCAGGAGAACATTGAACTGACCAAGGAGGTGCAGGACTTGAAGGTCGGTGTCGATGCCGCTTCTAAAAACGAAGAATTAATTTCACTTAGATCATTGTTACGGATAATTTGTTATACCCTTAGGTCAACATCGAGAACGTCATCTACCTGAAATCTCAGATCGCCGGTCAGCTGGAAGACGCTCGTCGCCGTCTGGAAGACGAAGAGCGTCGCCGTTCCCTGATCGAGGCATCCCTGCACCAGGTCTGTAATATCTGTAACAACCGATTACAAGGTCTAATGACGGTCCCTCTCGAGTTAATGATTCAGAAAGTACTTACTGGATTTCACCCGTAGGTCGAAGTTGAGCTCGAGTCGGTCCGCGTGCAGCTGGAAGAGGAATCCGAGGCTCGTTTGGATTTGGAACGTCAACTGGTCAAGGCTAACGGAGAGGTGCAAATATGGAGATCGAAGTACGAAACCGAAGCGAATGCCCGCGCCGAAGAGGTGGGTACTTACTTATCGAGTAATCCTTGATACCGGACCGATAAAACTCCTTGGGAGTACCTGACGCATCGATTACCTTCCCAGGTGGAGGAACTGCGCCGCAAGTACACCGCTCGCATCCAGGAACAGGAAGAACAAATCGAGACCCTCTTGGTGAAGATCAACAACTTGGAGAAGCAGAAGTCCCGGCTGCAGTCCGAAGTCGAGGTCCTGATCATCGATCTCGAGAAGGTGCCACCTTGGTTTCCACCCCCGACCCTTGGAGAGTCCTCCGGAGACCCTGAAAATGGTATTTCTTTTTAATTCCCAGGCAAACGGAACAGCCCGCGAGCTGCAGAAGCGCGTAGAACAGCTGGAGAAGATCAACATCGAGCTGAAGTCTCGGCTGGATGAAACCGTCGGCTTGTACGAGCAGAGCCAACGAGATCTGCGCAACAAGCAGCAAGAACTGATGCGCACCAACGCCGAGCTCGACAAGACCCGCGAGCTGAAGGACCAGCTGACCCGCGAGAACAAGAAACTAGGAGGTGCCCCTTCTCGTTCCTGAACGACCCTAGAAGTCCCTAGACACTTAAGCTAAAATCCTAAAAAATCTTTCAGACGACCTAGGCGATGCCAAGAACCAGCTGTCCGACATGAACCGCCGTCTGCACGAGCTGGAGCTGGAGCTGCGCCGCCTGGAGAACGAGAGAGAGGAGCTGGCAGCAGCCTACAAGGAAGCCGAGGCTGTAAATATCGATTCCCCTCTTCAAGATCCCGATAGCGATTCATTCCGACATCTATCGAGTGCTGTAATAATCCTTTCCAGGGCCGTAAAATCGAGGAACAGCGCTCCCAGAGATTGGCTGCCGAGCTGAGCCAATTCCGCCACGAAGCCGAACGTCGTCTGGCCGAGAAAGATGAGGAGATCGAGGCGATCCGGTGAGTTCGACATCCGAATCGGTTCCTAGACCTGGTGTGCTTGTCCACCTCTAATCCATTCCTCCTCTAGCCATTTCATATCCGTTCCTCCACGCGGTGCACAATGTACAAAGATCTTGGTAAAGCGACCCTGAAGAAGCATCATCTAGCAAAGGTGGTAAAGATTCATATAAAATTAGATTCTTATCATATAATAAATAGATGAATAAGATAAAATGACAGTCAAAGTCGAGACGGGATGGCAAACGTAAAATACGAGTATCAGAGGCCTATCGCATGTATGCATCCGATCGACCAATGCCCGTCGCGACGTCTCATCGACTATTAATACGCCCGAGTTAAATCGGTCGACGTGGATATATACGATGATGAATTAATCATCGAATCGGCTCTTGGGGGTCAAGCATCTCAAGGGAAGCCACCCCATTCATCTGGATAGCCGAGCCGAGGGAAGCTGGGATTTCCGCAAAGCGTATCCAGCATCAGCCAGGACTGGGTCCAGAGTATCGGACCTTAATTTCCGCGGCTTTTCCTTATCACCGGTGGACCAGAGGAGATAGATAAAGCGAGAAACTCGGCATTCCTCGCGGCACACCTGGCAAGAGCAAACGTCTATTAATATCGGCAATACCGAGACTCGATTTGCCCCCGAGGGTCCTGATTGGACGATCTCGATCGACCCATCGATGGGGCAATCGGCAAATCGGGTACAAAAGAAAGGGCCGACCCATCAAGCGGCCCCAATTTTATATTTCACCGCCGATAGGCAGACATTCGCGTTCTCCACCCGCGAGTGGCGATACTCGAGAAAGGAGAAGGCGCCGAGCAGCGTCCTTCGATCCCGGTCGACTCGCCCCCAAAAGAGGATCCTCTCTTCCGGGGGTGCCGAACGAACGAGAAATAGTGAAATCGAAGGAAAGAAAGATAGAGGAAAAATCCAACGAGACCGAAGGACATCGAGAAGAGCGCTTTGAAACGGCCGATACTCCTTCTTCGAGGTCCTCTTCGGGGTGTCCTAGCCGAGCGAGATGTCGGGGCGGCTGCCTCTCTCGCAGATGCCGGTGGACTCGAAGTGGCGCCACGGGCCCACCTATGTCTACGACATGAATTACGGTTACGGTATGAACTATTACCAGCCGATGATCGACTATATCGATCGGAGGCAGGTCGGAGCCAAATCCGAGTATCCCCACCTACCCTGGTCGGACGGCCGGCTGGTCTGGGAGAGCAACGAAGTGCTCCCGTACACGAAGCCCGACCTGGTCAGAAGAGCGGTCGACGCCGAGTTGCAGGCGAAGCAGCACCTGGCCCACTTCAAGGTACGTCGCGCCTCTTCGAGGTGGGTTCTCCGCCAGGGTTGGGTCGAGGGGCGCGATCGGTTCGAGTTCGGCTCGGGCTCGCTCGGGCTCGCTCAAGCTCGCTCAAGCTCGCTCAAGCTCGGCGCAGCGACCGCCTGACCTTTCCGGCTTCTAATTCGGTACCGAGGCGCCGCCGGGATTCTCCTCCCCAGAGACGCCCAAGAGCGTCGGCACGGAAGACGCGCGACGTCGGATCGAGCTTGAAATACGCGGCCTGAGGGTGCAGCGTTAATTTTAATTCCTACTAATCGCGATTAATCTCGATTAGTCGGGATTAACGGAGCCGCGGTTACCTCTGGGGAAGGCTTAGCACACGAGACGATCGAATCTCCTCGAGATCGACATACTTGAATCGGGTCAATTCCCCGGATACGCTGGCGACCCCAGGGTCGCGAGTCCATCGGGTGGGTTGTCCTTGATCTCCTACCCCGTCGGGAACCTTAAAAAAAGCCTCGGGTTAGAGTCAATTCAGGAGATGGAATCGGTCGGGTCGCGATATCTCGATGTACTTTCGGAGCGCCCGGCAAGCGCTCCGGATGCCAGATCGGAGTAGCGAGACATCAAAGAGGTCTCAAAATATCCCCGGCGTGCAGAGGCAGCGGCCAGGTCATACGAATTGGCACCGGCCTCTAGAGCGCCTTCTCTCGTCGCGACTTTCCCGCCGTGGGTATCACGGAGTATTATCGGATAGTACTCCTTGATACTCCGGCATCGAGCAACATCCCGCGAAATTCCCGAAGATCGCGAGGCGTTCCGACTTCAGCCTCTCGAAGACGATCGAGGCGAGCCGAGTGACGAAGGACGTCCTGACCACGGCGACGTTGGCGAACCCGATCGTCCGGGCTAGAAGCGAGCCGCGAGAGATCGCCCGGAGGAAGAGGGTGGAACGCAACCTCGAGGAGCACCTGGAGAAGAAGATGGAGACGCGGATGCAGGCCCTGAAGGAGGTGCAGGAGGTTACCTCGGTCAGGGAGGCCCTGGAGCACGGGAAGAGCCTGCGCGGCAAGTCCGCCAAGGCCATCGAGATACAGCTGCAGGTGGACGCCCTGAGGAACCTGGCGAAGGGCGACGAGCTGGCCGACATCCGGAAGCTGCAGAGGGAAGCGATGCACGTCCTCTGGGACGAGCGGGCCCACGATAAGCTGATGGAGGACAGGTCCAGGGCCATCGCCACCGAGGAGAGGTCCGTCGAGTCCATCGCCCTCGGCCACGAGCTCAGGGACTACGAAAAGAGGTCCGACGGTTACTTTCTCGACAAGAGGTAAAGCGTCTCCGCAGGCCGGACTTCATCCCCCTAAAAGACGGTATTTATGGCGATTAACGAAATGCGACAACGCCGATACAAAGGTACTTACTTGGCTTGAAGGCCGAGGCTTTGGTAGAGATTCGGCGGTGGCCGAATTAGGTAGTCGTGGTTGTGAAACTGGTGCGGGAGATGTCTTCCATTGCACCGCGTGTCCCTTGCCGAGTCCTTCGTCCTTTGGTAGAGTGTGCACCCTGTGCGCTCGTAATGGGAGGTTTGACGTTTCCTTCCGCATTCGCAGCAAGCAGACCAGCATCGAGATCGAGCAACTCAGCGCCAGGGTGGTGGAGGCCGAGACCAAGCTGAAGACCGAGGTGCAGCGCGTGAAGAAGAAGCTGCAGATCCAGATAACCGAGCTGGAGCTCTCGCTGGACGTCGCCAACAAGAACAACATCGACCTGCAGAAGACCATCAAGAAGCAATCCCTGACCTTGACGGTGAGTCGTAGATCCTCCGTGTTCCCTCTGAACAGGCCTAGAACCGCTCGACCTCTCCGTTGCAGGAGTTGCAAGCTCACTACGACGAAGTCCAGCGCCAGCTGCAGGTGACCCTGGACCAGCTGGGCATCAGCCAACGCCGTCTCCAGTCCCTGACCTCTGAACTCGAGGAAGTGCGCGGCAACTACGAATCGGTGAGCTTCAAAGAGGAATTACGAGCGAGGATAGGACCGAGGTAGGACCCTACGACCTTCCGCTCGTTTCAGGCCCTGCGTGCAAAGAGAACCGTCGAGCAGCACTACGAGGAGTCGGTCAGCCGCATCAACGAGCTGACCACCATCAACGTGAACATCGCCTCCTCGAAGGCCAAGCTCGAGCAGGAGCTGGCCACTCTGGCCGGCGACTACGAGGAGGTGACCAAGGAGCTGCGAGTCAGCGACGAGAGATACCAGCGAGTGCAGAACGAGCTCAAGCACACCGTGGAGATCCTCCACGAGGAGCAGGAGCGCATCGTCAAGATCGAGTCCATCAAGAAGTCCCTCGAGATCGAGGTGAAGAACCTCTCGGTGCGCCTCGAGGAGGTCGAGGCAAACGCCATCGTGGGAGGCAAGCGCATCATCAGCAAACTCGAGGCCAGGGTAAGCCATCCCAACCCGCGTTCACCCCGATCCCGATCGAACCACCAATCACGTTTCTCCCCCCAGATCCGCGACCTCGAGCTGGAGTTGGACGAGGAGAAGCGCCGACACTCCGAGACGGTAAAGATCCTGCGCAAGAAGGAGCGCAACATCAAGGAGGTAATGATCCAGGTAGAGGAGGACTCGAAGAACATCGCGCTCCTCCAGGAGGCCCTCGACAAGTCGAGCCAGAAGGTCAACATCTACAAGAGGCAGCTGCAGGAGCAGGAGGGCATGTCCCAGCAGAGCGTGACCAGGGTGCGCCGGTTCCAGCGCGAATTGGAGGCAGCGGAGGACCGCGCCGACACGGCCGAGAGCAACCTGACCCTGATCCGCGCCAAGCACCGCAGCTTCGTCACCACGTCCACCGTCCCAGGCTCTCAGGTCTACCTCGTCCAGGAGACGAGGCAGGACTTGTAGAGCCCCCACATCCCCGAGCCCCGAGCGGCCGATTTCGTCGCATCGATACCACGTCGTCGTCGAGCACGTGAGTGGCCTCCAGGTCCGCCAGAGCCTGGAAAAAAGTGGCCTGGATTAATTATTAATTATCGCTCTACCTACGTTTAGTCTATCTGGTGTTACCACATCCCTGGGACATCTCCCAGCGACGCTAAATCTCCTCTTCGCCTCCTTCTCTGGTCCCCAGGCACGCCGAAATCGCGGAGACGAAACCCCCGGGACGAGTCGAAAGGACCGACCCGCAAGAGAGAGCATCGTTGTGTGTACATTTCTTCAGTCGCAATACATCACCGTAATCGCCACAGTCATCGTATTTCGTAATCGTTATCGAGTCGTCTGCAGTCCCCGACAGACGACGGCAGCTACCGCTGGTGTCACCGGTACGTCCCTCCGACTTTGGACGAAAGCGCGTCGCTCCTCGACTTGTCCGCTGTGCGTGCATGCCGCCCCCCGGCGCACCTACGAACAAGATTATATATATAAATATACATAATATATATATATATTTACATATAAATGATGCATTATGCAGAGATCAAGGAAATGGATTAATTACGTCGTGTCGATTGAAAAAAAAAAAAAAAGAAAAATACATGGTCAAGTTAAGCCAGGCCGGAAACTTAAGCGAGCACGCAACCAGGTACACGCACACATACACACCCCCACTGTGGAAAACATATACGCATCTATTATACGTACTTATATTTAAATAATTGTAATTCTATTCTATTATACATAGATAGGTATTATTGCCCATACACAAATTCTCGATGTACGACATAAACAAGTAACCTGTGTCAACATTAATTTAATAATAAACTGAAACGCGTACGTACGAAAAGTGACGAGCGCTCCACCTTACCCCTTAATATCTGCGTTCGTCCAGGGCGTTCCAACATCGGGTATTTCTTTCACTTCAGGCCAGGGGAAAAGAAGATCGAACATACCGAGTTTCCTTCAACCGGGAAATCCTTCGAACCACTGTGGCTTTATTGATAGGGAGCGCGGCATAGAGGACTTAGGATCGGACCGGGATCGACGAGTTCTATTCCTAAGTCGGTACAAATCCTCGCGGTACAAAAGTTCAACGATAGGGCGCAAGGGGGCGCCCCCCGATAAATCTAAAATTCCGAAAAATCCGTGAAAAACCTGCTCGAAAAGACCCGCGGAAGAGTTCCGAGAGCGTAAGAAACAGTCGGGGAGTCTCCGTCGGTGATTCGCGAATAAGAGCCTCGCAAGAACCCAATATCAATCCTGTAAACGGCACTGAGAATCCATCACCACCCCCCGAGAGGGTGGCAATTGGACATCAAATCAAGAGGATACCCGCCAAAAGAAACGGGGAAGCCTCGAGTCCCCCGTTTATCCCTCCCAAGATCCACCACGTGCCGAATCCTCGCTCGCAACTCCGGGCCAAGAGGAGCGACCTCGAAGAGGCAACCCCGAACTACCAAGCACCAATCTCTCCCGAAATTATTGCTCCATCCATCGTACAAGAGTGCACATCACCTCCGACCGACTATACGTCGGCCATATCCCCTTTACTTAACTCGAAATACTGTTTAAAAACCGGCTAAAAAGTGGCCCGGCCGCGGTTTCAAGAGACGGAGGTTCTCGTCGAGGTCCTCCTCGTTGGTGCCATTCATACCTACCGTTTACTCGTCTCAGCCGCACCCTTAATTCGCTACCCATTCACGACGCCGTCCCTCTTCCTCGCATTCAAATCTACAGCCGAGTTACAACCTTACACGCAACTAGTCTAATTTATGCGGATAAACCGCGCCCGGCCGATATACAAATCTCTCGGCGCTAGATCGTTTACGCCCGACTTAAGTCGACAGACTCGGCCATAAGAAGAACGAATCGACGCGAATCTCCTATTCTTCTCTATTTCCGCTCGAAGCCCCGCTAAAAGGCCGCCGACCGAAGAGAGAAAGAGAGGGAGATACAGTGCAGAGTACGTAGAGCCACCGCGCCAAGAGCTCGCGGATATAACACGAGCGACCACGTGCTGCGGAAGTACGCGCAATTTTTTACGGCCCTTCGAGGGAGCATTTACATCGGTCTATGTACAGAGTATCGTACACGGAGGAGAAACGAAGGGGGCAATAAAATTATTAACAGGAGGAAAGGAAAATACGGCGTCGATAGCGAGCAAAACGTGGGACGACTATCGACTCTATCCGCAGCTAAGTCGACGGAATTAAAGCTAAAGGAAAAAGGGAGAAAAAAATATATATATAGAGCTCAACGGAAAGTCGTTGCGAGGAACATTCGAAGGAAAAAAAAATTCCAGCGACTTGTGAAGAGAAAAAAAAAAGAAAATATATGTATAGTATAGACGTATCCTAGTAGAAATCACTTATCGAGCGGAACATCGACGAGTCGCCATTTCGACATTTCGGCCGAATCTACGCGGGGGACGTTACCTTAATGCTTATTTGTATCACCTCTTTTTTACACGTGAAATCCTCGTCGTTACACCGGGCATGCAACGGATATATTACTCTACACCCTGATCCCCTCCTGCGCGCGATTTCTCTCCCTCTCTCGTATGTACAACTTTATAAATATCTGTTATGTAAAGACTTTACACGCGAGGCGGGATAAGTCGGAGCCTACACACCTTTGTACGAATTTCCCTTCCAAGGTACCCACCTTTTCGTAGTGGTAAAATCTCCCGGATATAATGCACGATACGTTAAATTAACGCGCGCCACTCCGATAAAGCTAAAAAAAGAATGCGATGTCTATGAATAAAAAAAGGAAAAAAAAAAGATACGCGCGAAGAAGTATCTACAGTTCTGGTCCGCGCGACGGTATGGCGAACGCCATGGTAATTTATTAATAATCTTTGTACACGTCAATTTCATGTTTGTCCCACTTGTTCCACGTTCAACAAACAAGCACTAAGGCAACGAGGGTAATCACCAACCTCGGGGGCGATGCAACGAAAAACGCGTGCAGAGGTCTCGACGAGGAACTTCGGCAATCGCCGTACTTGCGTGTATGTTAACTCTTATCGTGGTTATCACGGCGCATCGGATGGCGCATAGACCCCCTCGAGTACATTATATATATATACATATATCGTATGTATAGTCCATGGGACAAAATACGTGACATGCGAGTACGCGCTAGAGTCTCGCCGCACAACCGGAACCGGATAAGAGCGATTGCGGTCAATCCTGTGAAATTACCATTAGCGCCAAGACTCGTAGAAGATCCCTCGAGGCCTCGAGGAGGGAAGTACGGATTCTACAGGAGGGCTCGGTAGAACATTTCGGTCATAGGTGTGAATCTTTTACTATTGGTCTCTCGTTAACTCTCGACGGGGGTATATTGGCACAAAATTGTACTAGCGGTATACGGAAACCTATTGGTAGGATACTGCCGGAATCGAGCCGGAAGGTCGTGGCAACGTCGACCGGGGCGACCTGCTGCTCCTAATCCATACGCGCTATCGAAAAACTCCTCGGACAAAAGTCATTCCCAACGAACCAAGGAACAACTTTCGTCCGAGGGAGTTTTCCCTGTCGCGGGCCGTTATCCCGGAAATCCACGATTTTTCGCACCGACAGGCGAGCGCTCTCACGACCCTCCGGCTCGGCAGGGTATAACAGTCGGCCGAACTTTGCGTCCGTTGCAGAAGTTCCTGATTGATTCACTTAGGGGACCTTAACGCGTTACTTAACACCTTTATAAATCAGCCTACCTGCACTGGGAATGTATATGCGTTTCACTTCAGTTTTAATATATAATATATAGACACGGTCAAAGGGAGATGAGAGAAACGGACGGAGGCCGGTGTCCGGATGACCGATGCTCTCTTTTCGCGAGGGAGGAGACGAGTATGCGAAATTACCAGTCGCGCGTATCCTCGACATTATATCCACGTTAGATGTGTATGTGTTGACGGCAATGTGTGAGTGTGTGTGTACACGCTTTTCAGTCTTGAGAAGTCGAGCTCGCGGAATTACGTGCCGGCGAAGGCACTTGGCAAATCCGTGCGATGATCCGCGCCGAAGGAAGGAACAATGGCGGCGATATGCTCGCGAATGCGTCGTACAAAAGGAGCAAAACAATATAGAAAAATACGATTACAGGCATTACGAGATCCTCGGCTCGCACCTAGGCATTTACGCGTAATCGTTAAAATCGCAGAGTCGGCTACGATGGACGATTCCTACTCCTTGCTCCCCATCTCGCTCTGTCATTTCCCGACCGTTCGTCATTTTCCCGCAACACGGACCAACGTCCTCGTCTACACTTCTCTCTTCTAGTTCTCTTCGCGCCAAGGTTCGTCCTCGGCGAAGACCGTGGTCAATACGATTCAAGACTCGACCGCGCCCTCTCTGCACGCCTATTTAGTATTTGGTATGAGCACTCGGTAAAGAGATACCTCAAGGTACATCTTCCACCTGCCTATACGTACGATCAGGTACGTACATCCGGTGAGTCCACGAAGAGCGCACTCGAGTGTCGAATCGCAGATCCTTTGAACCGGTCGAACGAAAAGATCGACTCGACGGACCTCGAGGTCGTGCCTGAAAGACGTAGCTGGGCCCAGCTTTTCGACCGTTCGTGTCAAGTGAAGCGGTTAAAAGTAACCCGAAGGAACCCGCGCTGATCGTCCGAGGCTCGACCCGGCGACATATCTATTCAATACACGAGAATCCGTAAAAAATATTATACAACGCAAAGACCTCTCCGAGCGAATCCCAGGGGCAAGGAGCGCGGGTCCCAATCCGAAGTGTCTGTCCAAAATTGCTCGGAGGCGACGATCGGAGCCGTTCGATTAGGCCTCGGGCATAAGTCTTCTCCTCCGGTACTTAGACGCGTCAAGCGATGCTTAGGCTTTAAATCGAGTCCATTCGCATGTACCGGTCGCAGGTCCGCACCCTCGGCGATCGAGCTTTCCATTTCAGGAAAATACCACGAGCCCGCGGAACGAAACTCGACCCCTTTCCCCGCATACGATGCACTGGGACCAAAGTGGGTCCGCGTCCCCCACAAAATCCGGTCCTCGTTTCCACCGTGTCTCTCGGACATGTCCACGGTGACGTAAAAAGGTACTACGTAAAGTCCTCCCAGAGGAGACCCTCGAGAGAGCCGCAACGTCCCCGGAGGGTCTCCGAGCAGCCGTTTCACGAGTGCCCTTTTCCCCATCCCGGACGCCTTCCGGTCTCGCGGGGGTACAAGAGTCCGCGCTTCGTCTCTAGCCGAAGCCGCGAAACGAATGAGAATTCGAAGAGACACCCCCGGTGCCTCCTCGTCGAGCTCTACTTCGACAACGAGTCCTCCATGATGCCGTAGTTGGCGAGGGACTTCTTGATCCTGAGGGCGGTGAGCCTGGCCGCGGCGTTTTGGTACCAGCACTCCTTCATGACCTTGGACATCACCTGAAGAGCCTGCAAGGCGATTAACGCGGATTAAAATGTTCGAGTGCCCCGCACCGTCCGACTCTTCGAGGATCTGCGCTCACCTCGATCGATTGCCATCTGTTCGGGATCGAGGGCCTCTGCCGGTCCGTGCAGACCACCTTCCTCATCTCCTCGATTGTAGGATCCGAGGGCACCAGATCGTAAAAAGGCAGCTGGTACTCGTCGTGGATCCCGCCCACGTTGCACCTCCTGGCGATTTCCCAGAAAATCAGGCCCAGCGCGTAGACGTCCGCTCTCTTGAAGGAGTCGAAGTGGTTCATGTTTATCGTCTCCTCGAGAACCTGGAAAATAGAACTCGTACGTTAACCCACCTCCGGGATCTCCGATGCCCTCTGAAAGGAGAACGGAATATCCTCACCTCAGGCGCCATGTACCGTTTCGTGCCGACCCTGTTGTTCAGCTGAATGTCAACGGTGTCGGTAATGACGTCATGCCTGACGGCGAGGCCTAGGTCGCCGATGGCGCAAGTCCCGTTGGTCTTTACGAGGATATTCTTCGACTTGAGGTCTCTGTGAGCGATCGCGGGCTTGCCCTGGGTCCCGACGATCTCCATATGCAGATGCGCGAGCCCGGTGGCTATCGACAGGGCCATCCTGATCATGCCGTTCGTGTCGACGGTCGATCGGTTCAGATAGTCGAAGAGGGAGCCCTTCTCGTGGTAATCCGTGATGAGCCAGAGCTGCGTCCACGTGCCGTTATCTGCAAAGGAAAAGAAACAAAATAAAAAATAAAAAAATAAAAATAGCCCGACCATTCAAGCGGCATATCGCGCATCCTCTACAGGTATCTCACCTTTATTATCGGCAGCGATGAATCCCAGGATATTGTCGTGCCTCAGCATGACGGTCTGGTAGATCTCGGCCTCCCTGAACCAGGACCTCTCCTCCCTTGAGCTGAATATCTTCACGGCGACGTTCTCCCCGCGCCACCGGCCACGCCAGACCTCGCCGAATCGACCCTTACCGATGGTCTCGACCAGCTGGATCTGGCGGGCTATACTCCGCTGAACCAGGAGTGGCAGTCCTACTTGAGAGAGAAAGGCATTGGAGAACGTCATTTTGGATAAGGCTCGGCCCTCGTCTTACTCTACCCCGGGAAAAAATCCACTTCGACCATTTTAAACCGCAAATATGTCCGGCGTATTTTCATACATAATTGCATCCGTTCCTCATATATATATATATGAAATTCAAGGTCCAGTCGGAATGACGTCACCTGGGAGTACCGCCGATATACCGCTACGGGTCTGCGTACCTGATTTGCGCCTTCGGGAGGAACGTCATTAGCGTTACTTCCCGGGGCGATTTGCCTCCGCGGAATCGAGGAGTCGATTTGCATAGACCCACCGATCGGGAGTAGTCGGGAGAAATCGTCGCTCTCGAGGGTCGAGAGACCCGAAGAGCTACATGCGCGGCGGCCAGGCATTAATTTGCATATACAGACACGGCATGCCGGGTCGCGCGACTAGCGCGACCTCGTCCAAACTTCGCGCGACCACTCGCCGGCGCCAAAGGCGACCTCGAGCGAGTGCGCGCGCACGAGAAAAGGTCTCCCCCCGGGGGGGAACGAGGGGGCGCGTCTCGTTCGATCCCGAAGGCGATCGGCTCTTTATCCGGCCGATCGAGCCGATTCGCTCCGACGTGCCGGCGAGAGAAGGAGCGTCCTCGATCTCTCGCCGACCTTGGCGACCTTACGGCCCTGAGGCTCCGCGGTAAACGCCGGGAATAATGCCCGCGCCGAGACATGCGCGTGCTCCCATACCACGAAGAGACCCTTACCCAGAGAGTAGAGCGAGGTACTGTTCACTTGGAGATCGGTGAAAACGATTTCCTTCACCGAGAGCCGATTGACATTGATATCATGTGATAACGATGGGATTCGGTGTTACAATTGTGAGAGTACTTCATTGATTTTCAATGATTTCTAGGGATACCCAGCTGATTTCCACGTGATTACCAGCGTTAAAATCCATGATCTCCTGAGTGAGTACTCCCTCGCTTTAGAGTCTTTCTCATCTTTAGAGTCTCCAGGGTGGATCCACCTCCTCGGTAGGCGGATTCCTCCGGTGAACCTACCCGAACCGCTGCCGCTGGTGGTCATCTCCAGCATATCCCTGATGGTGACTCCACCCAGGATGGGTCTATCGGGTGCCTCCAGGGAGTCGTCCGGGAAATGTATGACCGGCCTCCTCCTGGTCATGTGCACGTGGTAGACGATCATCACGACCACGCAGATGGCGCAGATGGGCAGGGCGATCGTCAGGGCCATCTTCCAGGTGACCCAGGTGGCATCGTCGCCGTTCGCCGACGCTTAGACACAGAATTCATGATTAGACACGGGAGAACCAACTCCGTCCCCTCGTATACATACGTAAGAAAAACCGGCCGTTCAAAAGCTCAAGATATCCCGGCTTGCGATTGCGTTCAAATTGAAACCAGAGCGGGAGGCAAAAGCCCTCCGGAGAGGGCGACGGAGAGACAGCGAGGAAAGCGCGCAAGGGAGCGACAGAGAGACCCCTCGGGAAGCGTGCGGAAGCGCGCCCCGAAAGGGGCGGAAAGTTAGTGACGGAAAAGTGCCCATGACCAGAAGTCCCATGCAGGGTGCGGGGAAATAAGCGACGAGAGGCAGCCAGGGGGACGAGGAGATGTCCCGCGTGCGGATTAGTCGCAACGGTCCAGCGCAATCTCGCTAAGAGGTGGATGAAGGAGGAGGTACTCGCGGCAAGACGCGTGCGAGTCTCGTCCGCGCGGGGTGGCCGACGCGGATCCGTCAGTCCGGCCTGCGGAATCCTGACGATCCGCGGTTGCACCGCGGGGAAGGTGCGCCGATTTCTCGACTCGCGTTCTTTTTTTCTTTTTTTTTTTCCCCCTCTCAAGGTGGACGTCCTTTTTCCTCCTCGTGGCGTTTCCGGTGCGGCGACCGGGAGTCCTCTTCTGGCCCCTCCGCCCGTTTTTCCCTCTGGCGACCCGACGGAGGCTCGCTGGTATCGACTCGTCGAACATCCCGACCGGCTAGGTCGACGTCCTTAGACGTTTCCCGGACCGTACTCGGGGATGACGTCCGGAGAGACGAAGATGGACCTCTCGATGGGTCGATTATGGTAACAATTCGGACTCTTTCGACCGGAGGAACGAGCAGGGGTTGGGAGCGCGAGGGATGAATCCGGCAGGGCCGACGATTCCTTCGTTGCCGCCCTCTCGATATCCGGATGTGCGTTTACGCACTCGGGCCCCCGTTTTCCCGAATTTCAGGCGAGAAATGTAATCCATTCCCTTCCCCTCGACTCTAAACGCAACCCCTGGGATTCCGCATGCGAGGGGCGAGGCTCTCGTTTCCTCGCCGTTCTTCGGCCCTCCTCGCCTCTCTTAACGAACGCGAGGAGCGAACGAAGAGCCTTCGCCGACGGTCCGGCACTTCCGGAAAGAGTCTCATGCTCCCCGAGCAGGTGGACACCCCGGTCGAGGCGTTCCCTTCAGCAGGCGATCGCATGCCGATTTCGCAACGAGCGAGAGAAAGAGAGAGCGACTGGGAGACGCGCTAGAGAGAAGAAGAAAGACCCGCGTTCCGCGTTGACGTACACCGAGAAAATAAAAAAAAAATAAAAAAAGAGAAAAGTTTATTAAACCAAAGAAATATTCTGCCAATTCAAGGAATACTTATTCGACTCGAAGAAAAAAATCAAATAAATCCTTACAATCCCGAAGAAACGTAGCGTCGAATTATATTCGAGTTTGTCTGAGCCAAATAATTATTTCCTTCGAATTAATGAAATATCTCTTCGGTTCAATGGAATTTCCTTTTCCTAAGGGTATATACACTCCCGAGTTAAAACAGCGATTCGCTAAAATGACGAAGATAGCGGATGATCCGAGCGACCCAGCGGCATATGGCACAAAAAATTCACGATCGCGAGAAAAATGGTGAAAGAAAAAAAAAATAAAAAAGCGTACACGCACGTCACCCGTCGGAGCTAATCGAATCGACAAGTGTCCATACATTCCGTTTACCTCGTTGAGAAAGAAAAAGAGCGAGAGAAAAAAAAAAAGGTATCCTCCCAAAGAGATGCCCTCGACACTTCGGGTATGCAAATCAGCCCGATCCCGGTATTGTCGATTCGACGTTTTCTTGCCAGCGATGCGTACGAGTCTCGCGACAAGGAAAGGAGAGAAAGAGAGAGAAATAACTTCTTTAACCTCGGAATAATAAGCCGCCTAGAGAAAAAAAAATAATAAAAATAAAAATCGGCTTGCGGAGAAAGCGCGGAATCTCGGCGCGCTCCGAGTCGAGGAGATCGCCTCGTAAAGCGCGATTAGATTAGATAGAAAGAGACCAGGGTAAGAAGTAGCGTCCTTACTTTTCCCAGATTCCGCGCGATCTCCTCCGTAGGAAGATTACCGCGGGGCCGGTATTTGTGAAAACATTTCGCCGCATCGCATTCTAAATAAATCGGCCGCTTGTTTACGGGCCCGATGAACAGACGAAACACACGTCAGCCTCCGCCGAGCGGATCCGCGATATCGATAACACGTCGTCGGCGACCGTTTATCGGCAGGGCCATTCATAACGAGCTCCGAAATTACATCCGCGAGAGACCGGAGCCTCGCGATTCCGCGTCGTGGTCCCCGCGGAACGTCCGCGGGCAAAAACACTTCCGCGTAGGAAGCGTCACTCTTCTCGTGAAACAAATCTCTCTTCCTCCCCTTCCCTCCCCTTCCCGGGTCCTACCTCGACGCCCACGAATCGACCATCGGCGACAAGGATGTGCCCGAGAAGGAAAGAAAAAAAAAAAAACAACTCCAGGGTGAACAGGAGAGCGCAGAAGACGTCACAAAAGCGCTCTTGATTGAGTGTTCCCGAGTGTTCCCAAGTGTTCCCAAAATTCCGAAAATCGCCCCCCCACCGCGAAGGTCGCCTGTCGATGTCCGTCCGTGTTCCTTAAGAGAAAGAAGAAGGAAAAAAGAAATAACGAAGAAAAGAAGGAGGAAGTTAGAAAGAAACAGTCCACGGCAGGCAACGTCCGCGGTGGGGTACAAGCGAGTAGTTTCGCGCGTCGATCGGTAGGTACCTCCGTCTTCGAGGTAGTGAGACGAGCGAGAAGGGTTTCGCCTTGGCTGAGATAGAAAAGGAAGCCTGAGGTCACGGTTGCAGAAATCGGCGTGGTCGCAGCAGGCGACCACGAATTCGCCGCCTCCTGGGCCCCTGCCGTTGGAGCTACACCAAACCGAGTACTCCGGCGCCGGGAAGAACCGCGTCTTATCGTAACACCTGGGGGCCAATGTCACCAGTCTGTAAATCGGCGCTCAAGGAGAGAGGTTGAGTACGCGTTCTTAAGGCCATCTACAGGTAGAACGACCACCGCGAACCGTCCAAAGGAGAAGAAACCTCGACGGAGGACGCCGAGTCTCCCGGAAGAGATCTCGGGGTCGTCCCAGCTCCCTTCAAGGTGTCCCTCCGGATGTCCAGTTTCGGACTTCCGCGTTCCCTCCCCATCGGGTGGGCGAAAGGGGTCGCAAAAGGAGCTAGCTAGACGCCGTAAGCGACCGAGAGAGTCCGGACCAAGACCCGAGGCCAAGGAGTCTATCTACAGAGGAGAAAGAGAGCGCAGTACCCTGGGCGAGAGTCGTAGAGGGGACTTCTACACACGTACGGGTCTACATAGGGCATTACCACCTCGAGTACCATTATCGCGTGCCGCGATTAGTTACGGCAACGCGTGATTTCGCGTTAAAGGGAGGTGGAGGAGCCTACGGGGCCCTTGCGGAGGGCGCGCCTCGCCGGAAACGCGGCTCTCTCCGGACGGCGCGTCGAAACGGCGGAAAAGGGAACGGCGTTAATTCTAGCCCGAGCCGTTTGATGTAATTTTAACGTCCGTTCGCTTCCCCGGCAGTTCACAGGCGGGAATGACCGCGAGTACCGAGTCATTCCCACCGAACAGCGGAACGGCCCATTGAGCGCGTTTCCCGTATTCCGCCGTACTCTACCCTTATTATCATTCCAAACGCAGCGCCGTCCAGGAGACGCGGATCCCCGGCGAGGGATCCGCACCCGACAAGACATGCATTCTCCTAGACAGAAGCTAACTAAATAGTAGCGCTCAACCGAAGGAGAACAGCGAGAGATCCAGACAGAGGAGGGTCGGCGGAAAGGAGTCCGCGAGTAATCCGAGGGCGATCGATCGATCGATCGGGTGATCCGGGCCGATCGATCGACGGTTCGCTGGGATCCTCTTCCTGGTCCGCCGGGCAGGACTCGGTCACCCTTCCTCGGGAGAATTCGGGCTCCCCTCCTGCCGGCCGGTCGCTCTCGTGCGCCATTACCTATAATACACGTATATATACAATGTAATATCTAATATACAGAGACAATAGCCGTGTGATCTACGGCGCGCGCTGAGAGATAAATATAAGTGTCTATGTACAGATAGTGAGAGATAGAGAAGAAAGAGAAAGGAGAGGACCGCGTGAGAAGCAGATAACGTGGTACAGGGTCCTCCTAAATATACATGGGGATCGCAGTGCAGGCTGGCAGCTAGAGGGTGCGTCACGTAGAGGAGGTGCAGAGCGAACAGATTCGGAGCGGCTACAGAGCAGAGGAACCGCCGGGGCCGAGATCGATCGCCGATCGATCCTCGATCGATCCCCGGTCCCCGGCGATCTCCGGCCGGCTGCTCGCGAGGACCGAGCGCCTTCGAAGGTGGCACGGGACAACCTGCCAAATCCCCGAGAAGGTGGGAAAACGTACGTAAGTGTACTTGGCGCGAAACTCTCCCGACTCTCCAGACCCCCCGTAACCCTAGGCGCGACTATCCCGAAGCACGAAAAATGGAAAAAAAAAAATTAAGAAAAAAAAATAGAAAAAGAAATCACCCTGTATCATGACATCGACCGAGTAACAAAGGTATAAGTAATAAAAAAAGGTCCAGGCCAAATCCACGTGGAGCGTACGGTGAAGCGAGATCGCTCCTAGGAGAGGAAGGGAAAAGGTAACATCCACCGCGAGAAAAGGGGACAGCGATATATGGGGGAGCTCGTGGGAGCGAGAGAGAGGTAGACGGGGAAAAAGGGATTAAAAAAGAGAGACTTAGAGGATAAGAATACCCGGAGGGGGGAAAAGGAGGTGCCACCTTCGTAGGTTCTTCCGCCGGCTCGTCCGGAGAGAGACAGTAGGTACCTTCTTTGTTGCGGGGGTGCAGCTGGGGTTTCAGATCTCGATTGCAAAAATCCTCTTTGCAGCACTCGATGACAAAGGTCGTGTTTATCGAGTCGCTCGTCATGCAGAAGATCAGCGGTTCGGGCTGCGACGACGACAACTGTTTCTGGACGCACCTTCAAGCCCATTTTGCATCTCGTTTGAATCGATCCACGGGCACCCCCGCGACCTGGCTCGCGGGGGGGAATCGCCGAAGGGAGCCATCCCCGCTCCCCTCGCCGTGGGATTCCCTCGAACTCGTGAGAAGACTCAAATTTCTCGCGGATCGCGCTACGGGACCGTTCCATGGACCGAGGATATCCCGGTGCACTTGGCGCGCGACTCCACCGAGTCGCCGCACTCGGCGCCAAGTGCACGCGCGAGAGACCGCGGCGTGGGATCGAGATAAAATCGGGGAAAAATGAAAGAAGGAAGATAAATATTTAAAAAAAAAAAAAGACAGAAAGAAAATTAAAGGAATCAAGAGCGAAAGAGTTTGCAAAGAGCCCAGGCCGATAAGACCGGGCGAGAGATCGCGGAGGGAGAGATAACACGGCGGGACGAGGGGGAGAAAGCGAAACGGAGAGGAGGGGGGAGGTCGCGTGATAAGAGACGAGCGATTTCCCCGATCTTGGCGAACGGAAGCTGCGATCGCGCCAATGTCCCGCGAGTCCGAGTTCTCAAACGAGGAGGGGAGCGCACGTAGGGGGTAGGTTCGTCCTCGAGGAGGAAACGTCATCCAGGGTGGAGTTCAGGGGCCAGGGAGCTCTGCGCAGGGGTCCACGCCAAACGGCCAAGGGGCAGAGGGAGAATGGGGTAGCCACCGCAGAAAACGGGTGCAGTTAATATATCAACTCGTTATCGCCTTGTCGGTTCCGGGGGTTAGTACTTAACGCGCGGCACCGGCGGTTCGATCAACCCCTAAACGGAGATTCGGGTCGCATCGGTCCAACGTCATCGATACCGTTCCTTATCAGCCCATTATTTAGAGGGCCACGTACCAAAAGATATGAATTGATATCGAACGAATGTGAACGAAGCCCCGAGAGGTGATCAACTCCACCGGCCCGGGGGAGGTAACCGCGAAAAGGGGAGGAAAAAAAAAAGGGCCAAAAAAAAAGAAAAGAAAAGAAAGGTGCATCCACGCGGGAGAAAATTCCCCCCCGAAAAAAAACCAAAAGGAGGGGGGAGGCGATAAACGTAAGACAAAAAAAGTAAAAGTCCAAAAGGGAAACACGGGGAAAAAAACAGTTAACGCCAACTTCTCTCTTGAGAAATGCCGCACACACTCTCGCCGGCCAACCCGTAAACTCAATACCTGGGGGCATTTCGCTCGTGTCGGGAGATAGTAATACCGGGATTAAATTCAGGTTGCAGTACTCGGTATCGCAGCAAACCCGGGACCGCGAGACGCCCGGCTTACCGTTGCAGAAGATGGGCGCTTCCGGTGGGAACCAATTCCTTCGATCGAGGCACCTTTCACAATGGCACAAGAGAGATCGCCGGTTTAAATCTCGAGCCGAGCCCCAGACCTTCCGTGTCACCGTCTCAGGTCGAGCCACTAAGTCGCAATTAATCGATTAACCGACCGGGCGGCTCATATCGGCCCGACCGAAGGGACGACCGCTCGCGCCATCCATTCGGGGGAGGACGCCATCCCTACGTCCAGGTGGAGGTCGGCAAATTATCGCCCCAGGTAGGGGCCATTCCGCGTGGCCCGGCAAAGGGGAGCCACGCGGGTGCAACGGACGAATCCCGCGGATGCATCGCGAGGGGGGTTATGCCGATGCAATGTTTACAGAGGGGAGGAGCACCCGGCGTGGGTGCAAGGGGTGCAGAGCGTCGGTGCCGAGAGAGAGAGCACATGGGCGCACATTTTGCCAAGACTCCCCGTCGCCATGGTTATTTGCAAATCGATCGAGTTGTCTCGTTACAGGGGCCGTTCACTCGCCGTTCACAGACGGCGAGTGGGAAAAGCCCTCGCGAAAAGCCCCGGCAAATAGGAGAATCTTGCGAAAAGGAGGGAAGGGAAAAAAAAAAAGAAGAAATAAATCGCAGTCCGACTCGACTCGCGAATCCGGTCCGCGTTTACGTTAACCGGGTGTTCGGGTGATCGCGTACCGGGTACCGTCGTCCACCTGAACTAGGTCGCCCCTTCGGGGTGGCCCGGGCGGTGCGGTCGGAAGGTCCGGCTTTGCCGCTCTCTTCGGGACGTCGTTTTCACCGTCGCGGTCTGCCGTGTATGCAATTACCGAATGCTCGGTCCTGTTCCGGGGATGAGAGGTTCTTATCGAGTTGCGAGTACATTACCTATACGCGTACGTGACGATGTCGTGGTCCAGGCTCGTGCTCGCGAAGCAGTAGCCGTCGGTGACGCACGTGTGGTTGCTCTCCACGCAAATGTCGCAGTGGCACTTCAGACCTGGAACGAAAAAAAAAAAAATAAAAAATCTCAAACCGGAGATTCGAGGCCGATAATCGTTGCGCAATATATCGGGGCCACAAAATTATGGCCCGAAATCATAGCGCAAAATATGTGCATAAATCCGAGCCCGAGAATCGAGGGGCCACCCTCGTCTACGGCCGGGTAATCCCTCAGCGCGGCCACAAAGGGTCGCTTCTCCAATAAGTAAACAAATGGATAAAAAAAAAATGAAGAAAAAACTAAAAATAAAATAAAGCGAGTACCCCGAAGAATCGGTCGCGGTGCGCCGGAATATAGCGGCCATTGTACCGCGGAAAGGTCCGCCTGGGCGCGGTTTCAAAAGAGCGGCCGATCCGCGAGGGGTGGCTCGCCGAGGGGAGGCGGATAAGAGACGAGGCCTCGTCGATAAGGGACGATTAAAAAGCGACGTCTCCCCCGGCTTGCGAATCCGGACCTCTCTCTATCTCTCCGAAATAGCCGGCATCCGATAAAACGCGACGGAAACCGCGACGAGGAGGCCGCTGCTAATTCCGGAGCGGCGGAGGCTCCTGCAGCTTTGATCGACCGAGTGGGCCTCCTCCTCCTCCGTTATTGAATTATGAAATTACCCGAAAGGAGAAAACCTCTCGTGACGTAATCGGGGGAGACGCGTCGAGGCCGCGGTTTGGCGCGTTCGCGACGCGTCGCGACGCGGTGCGGCGCGGCGCGGGAAATGCGTAGCTCCCGCGTTAAGTGGAAAAATACAGTTTACGGCGGACCGACGCCGAGTATCGCTGACCCGTCATTAATCTCCCTCTAATGCCGAGCATCCTTAAAAATGCCCCCGCACCAGCGCTCCGGTCGGACGTCAATAATGCTCGGCTGGAAAAAAATAAAAAAGAAAAAAAAATTGCGGATGCGGTTTAATATACCGAGGATCTTTAAAAATACCCGGGAGAGCTCGACAGCCGAACGTCAACGACGACGCTCGACGAAGACGCCGATACGAATACGACCTAGGGGGTATTCGCTCAAGAAATCGTGGATTTCAACCCTCGAAGTCGGAAATCACCGAGTACGGACACAATTTTAAGGTGTCACGAAAGGGTCGTTATAAATATCAAAACGTGAAAATATTAATAAAACTCTTCCAAACTGGGTGCAACGAATCATTTGAAACTTCAACACGTGATCGTGGAGGCGCTAAGGAAGATCGCGATGCTCGTGAGACTTCATTTTTTTTTTCCAACAAAAGTACACATGTTGAAGTTTACAACGATTCGTCACTTGTTATCGCATCGCATTGTTATCATATAGGAGTTAAAGGCAATACGTTCTCTAAGAAGGAAATCGGTGAGAACGATTTCAAAGTGAATAGCCTCTCGGATGGGATTTCTTAGGATCGACCAGAGCCCGAATAACTCATTATTATTAATTCGAGGCCTGGTGAAATTAATCACGCTAAGTGATATACCGTACCTCCGATTACGGAGATCACGTGAGGTCGACGTAATCCGGTGGTCGCCCTTTCGCGCATGACGGTCGCGTGCGAAACTCGGTACTCGTAATTCTCCCGTATTGCTCGAGATCAAAGAGAAAGTTCAATTCGCGCCACATACTGCGAAAGAACGAGCGAACGGTCGTCGCGTCAAATCGTTCGCTGATAATAATCGATTTCAATTAATATACATTTCTACACGCTTCATAAATGAAGGTTTACATAGGAAAAACTTGTTGCGAAAAAATTATAATTTTATCGCAATTTATTGTGCCATCGAAATGACCAATGATTCGAGATGTAAATTAACGTGGGCATTTTTATCAGTATTTTATCAGTATCTTTCGGAGCACCCGATTGTAATTTTCTAAGTTATGTTAAATGGCTGGTGCTTCGAATTCGCGAATTAGAAACGGCGGAGACGAAGATACATGCGCGAAGATCGCGCACACCTGCCGAGGGCGTTTTGATAGGACCGTCGAGCGGAAATATTTCCGCACCTATATAGGAGCATCGCGTGTACACGGCAAGACCCGAGCGGGATTCGCCATGGCGGGGAGCCGACTCGGCTCGATGTTATCAGCCCTAGCTCTGCGACCGATCGACCGGCGTCATCGAGATAAACGCGTCGTGGTTTTTTATCCGATATCGATCTCGCTTCCTGCCACCGACGCGTAAACACTCCGTCGTTGCTCTTCCCTCCCCTCGGAGAGAACCGCGAGTTCCGAGTCACACTCCGCGATAATCCAGCGAAATCGATTCTCACAAACGATCGAACCCCCCAAAGCAACATTTAGCAACTGATCGCTAAGTACATTAATTAACCCGAGGCACGCTGCCTTTCGCCATTGTCGAATGCAATGAATTTCCATTCAGTAAAAGCGCATACACGTTCTTGCATAACGTACCGAGAGAGTGGAGGAAAGCAACGGGCCAGCCACTATCAGCCTTGCAAAATGCAGGCTACGTAGTTGGTATTAATCTCGCTGCGTTAAGTAATACGACACTTATCGGCAGAGATTACGCGTCAAAAAGGAGGATAGGATACAGAGGTACCTCTCCGTCGCAATAATTTATATATACACACTTTGTAAAGATATCGTAGCACACGAATGTTTGTCAGTTGACGCAAGGACGAGACCCTAATTGGATATCGTGGCTTAGCAAAGGTTATCTCTCCGTGGAGATAACCGAGCGTCGTTCCAACCCTTCGACTCTCCTCTAACTCGGCGTAAGGTGAGCCAAAATATGAGCGATACGGGACCGACCAGTTCAGAGCTGCGTCACCTGATAATTTACGAGGCCCATTATCATAATATTCTTACGCTAGGTTACAGAGGTTACTCCGGTTGTACCCTAGGTGTACAACGAGGGACCCGGGTCAACGTACCATCTACTGCGGGCAATGCCCGCAGGAGGCAGAGGAGCGCCAGGGCGAGTATCGCCGACGCCGCTCCGCCGGCCGACTTGGACGACATGCTCTCGAAGAGAGGCAGACGGAGTACCGGATGGCGTCGGTCGCTCAACGGCGACGAGTCCTGTGCCCGCGCCTCTGCATCCCGCCTCCTCGGCGAGCGTCACCGCACCTTCTCCGGACGTGGTCGTCGCCGTCGCTTTTGGCAGCCGGTCGCCTCGGCCGACCGCGGCCCTTCACATGGCGCGACTCGCACCTGCCGCGCCTTCGGTTGTCGCTCGTCGACCCGTTACCAGGGCGGTGAGGCGGCCCCGATGCGACACGCGGCCATTTTCTAGCCAGCCGCGAGGTAGGCGCAGCCTGTCTCGTCGTTCGCCACCAGCTTCGAAACTAGTCGCCACTCTCACGCAAGGTTCCGCTTCCTCGGTTCGCCGTCTCCGCCTTTGGAACGGCCTTCTGACATGCCCGGCACTCGCGCCAACACCTCGGAAATTGTCACGCCGCGTTTACGAGTCACCGAAGCCGATCCGCAGCTGTCCACAGCCGTCGACGCAGCCGTCGCGCACCGTGTCGAGTCGCCATGACACTTTCCCACGCCGAGTGCCGGCGGCGCCCAGGTCCGCGGAGAATAGGCTGGCTGACGGTTCGGCCGCCGCCATGACACTTTTCCACCGCGCTCGACCAATCGCGTGGCTGGAAGGATTCACTGAAATATATAATAAACTGGAATGCAACCAGCGGGTTCGGCTCGAGCTGCCCTTGAAGTCATCCCTACTCCTAGGTGTACAGTCCTATTTCACATTTTTTTCTTTACAGAAACTATCCTTATATAATTACGGAGTACAATAATTAAAGGTAAATAATGCGATACGGGTTGCATGATTTTACTATACAGAAATATGACATTCTGTCAAACTATCGTCCCACCGATAAGGTTTGCCCTATCGCTTCCCTGCATTTCACTGAACTTTCCTTTCAGACTGTACAAATGATGCGCATGCATTGCTTAAACAAACGCAAGTATATTTTCTATGTGGGTGGGATAATGATGGAGAGCCGGCCATTACTTATCTCCGTCGCACCAATGTTTACTGGAACCTGTGCGACAAGGATGTAGGGACTGACAAATCTCTCTCTCTCCGGGTTAAACTTTGTCCCTCTGAATCGCGACGGTGGCAACACTGCTGTTCGTTTCCTTCAATTCCCTTGCTAGAAGCAAACACACCGTTATTTTATATTATATTAATATTAGATCAGTAAAAAATGGCCGAGGCAATGAGACAAACTGTTGCGGATATGCTGAAAGGGATTGAAAGGTATTTACGCGACGTCGCGTATATGTATTCGTAACAGTCCTGGATTTTATATCTACGAAATTTTCATAAGTTAACCTCTTCGGGGTCGTCCTGTCTTGCCTTTGCAGTTTGGTATTTTTATGTGCTTTCCGTTCCTAGGTATAATCCGGATAATCTAACAACTTTGGAAAAGTATGTTGAAATCCAATCAAGAGAAAACGCATACGACTTGGAGGCAAATCTTGCCGTTTTGAAGCTGTACCAGTTAAATCCTCATCGCTTCAATACTGACATAACGTGCCAAATTTTATTGAAAGCCCTTACTAATTTTCCTCACACGGATTTCGTTCTTTGCAAGTGTCTCCTCAGCGAAAGGATCGTAAGTACTGTCCAAAGCAAAGAGCCTCTGAATTTAAGTTTTTTATAACTTTCATTTTTTATTGCAACAGTTGCAGGATACTCCTATCAGTCAAATTATGTACTTAGGGGATATTTTGGAGCAATGTAATTTTCAATTATTCTGGAGCGAGGTGGCATCTATTCCAGAACTTTGCCATAGAATAGTTGGATTTCAAGATTCTATCAGAAAATTTGTCTGTCACGTTGTGGGAATTACTTTTCAGACGATAGACAAAAGCTTATTGATGCAGCTACTTGGAAACGTCGACGGTATGATTTTTCTCCCTTAAGATCTTTGGATGATATTTCTAAGTGTACTACTAATATAGATCGTTTTCAATTTTAGAAACTACTCTGAAACATTGGGTAAAAAAGTATGGTTGGAAGGAAGAGAGTAAGACAGTGATTTTTATTGCCAATCAGGATGAGAATATAAAAACGAAAAATATAACTGAGAAAATTGATTTTGAAAGTGTTGCTGGACTGATGGCTTCCTGTTTATAAATATTAATTGCACAAATAAGTGATTTGTATTTATATGTTTTTGGAAATACATCTCGATAAACGTAAAAGAATTTAATATTTTTTATTATAATTACACCAAAATAAAGGTGTCACATTTTTGTGATCATCGCGTAAATGATACACAAGAGCAGGATATGTACGAGCAAGAAAAATACACTGTATGTACATTAATTTCGTGAAAGGTTGTCTACCACATATTTCATTTTCTAATGAATAATAAATGATCTTGCTGCTTTAATGCAGTGGAATCAAAAAGCTACAATATGTTACTTACATAATTATTGACCTGTCATCATATTAAATCGAAGTACTATCTACAAACTGCATCCTTATTGTCAGTAATAAATAGGTTCCAATTAAAATCTCAAAGTGCACAGAAGTTGAATATAGTTTTACATTCTTATAAATATGGATACAATAAGAAAAGTAGAGAAAAATAAATAACTGTTTCTATAATAAATAGGAAGTGCATGTTTCCATATTGAAAAATATTGTGATGGAATATTATTGACATAATTCTATGTTAACTTAGTGGTTGTCGATAAATGCAAAAGTCTGCAAAGAGTGTGCATCGAGTTTGACCTCTAGGTCTTTCAGTATCTACAAAGGCTTATATGATACGTTTAATTAAACTTGATGATCAATCAGATGTGCATCTCGTCTAAATGAATAACGTGGTGGATTGTGACATGGTAACAGCCACAGTACCGGATGACCTTTTCCGCAAACTTGTGAAAGCAGAGTTAAAGCACGAGGGGCTGGTTTGGTATAATGATGATGGACTGCTTGAACTCTCTCAACTCCTGTCTCATCACCCAAGATTGCCTGAAATTGATCCACTAGGATTGCTATAACGAACAATCCAAATAATGCAGATTCTAGCACCAACATGACGCAATGCAAACTGTGAATAAATGAAATAATTAATGTACAGACTTTGCCTAGTTTATACCGCTTCAAACTAATCTCAAAAAGCTTACATTCTACTATGTTTGACAGCAATGTCATTGCTGCATTCCTGGCAGTCGTACGCCCAGGACAGGGCGACCAGAACAATGGCATATAAGGCCAAAACTCCAACATATACCAAAAACTGTATAAAATACTTGTGATTCCTTTCACCAACGCAATTGTTTATCCTTCAAAATTACAGTTGTGCTGAATACATGCACATATTCGACAAATTTCAAAGATTATTATGCATATAATGGACTACAATATTTTACCAAGGACAGTGATGATCCATTCTTCTAATACATCGTTTACAAATTCTGCAATGATGTGCTCGAGGTGGTCTATATGTTTCGCACCTTGTACACACGGTCCAATCATCTCTTTCATCGCAGTCATCGGCAGGACTGGAACTGCTAGTATGAATGTCTGAGAAATCCATTCTAGTCTGTGGTAACGGTACCACTCCTGGATCGCTACAAACTGCTTTTAAATGAGCCATCATCAATAGTAGGACGACAGTGTTGAATGCCACTACATGAAATGGTCCCCATAAGCTAAAGGAAAGAACGGTTAGCTGCATGATTTATAAATGTAAGCACGTTACGATCTAAATCCAATGTAAAATTTCCAGAGTATTAACCTGTCTTGCATGGTATTTAAAATGATCCATCGTATGACTACATAGTCAGCATAAAATACAGCAATATAAGTAACTATGATGCATACGATGCCACAGGGGTCTCTTACAAACATCTTTGTTGAATATCACATTCTCTCCTAGCGGTCCGTACCGCTCCCATCACTGACATCACAAACAATTCTTCATTTCTGACATCCTCATTTTACCAGTCTTTGAAATTTTAAATTAAAAGTCATTATCCACGCCTAGATCACGTTAATCCGACAGCTCTCTTTCCAGAGATGAGTCGGGAGATCGCTCACGAGCAGGGTCGCGCGATCGCGTCCTGTGCTGCCCCCTGGTGGCTGATGTGGATGACTAACGCACTTGCCACCTGATACCCCCCAATGGCGGCCCAAATCATTTCAAATCAATTTGAACAAAAAATGGACCCTATCGTGATCCACCTAAACCTGGACAGGGGTACAAAAGAACAAGCAAAACAGAACATTAAGAAAAATCCAGGAAGTCTGAGATTAGACAGCGAATAAGTTACTAAAAGTAAAAAATATTAATGGTAGATCAATCTCGTTAAATTGCCTGAACTGGTATTTTTCAAATCACTAAGTAGGAAAAACTTAATTTCAATGTAGTATTGACAGAATATAATCGAAATGATCGTTCGCCGTCTCTTCTCCGTCAATCCTGACAAAGTGACATAGAAAAAAATAGGAGGGACAACGTGGCCAAAAATTGGATGGCTGTCCGTTTGGAAGAACGGAAGGCCATCACATCAAGATTTATTCTATTTTCAAGCATATCATTTCTTAACCTTTACAATTTACTGTATATACAAATATTCACACATTTTCCAACCATAAGTAGACATGCAGAGAGAAGAAGTATCAAACCCGATGAATAGACATTCTGTATCCATCTTTCGAACGAACTGAAATATCAGATTTTAGCCGAATATCCTCGATTTTGGAGTTCGAGGACAACTTGTATCGTCTCACGACATTTCCGATTACCGTTTTCAAGCACATGATGGCAAATTTTTGACCTAGAATTAGATGTAAATGAGTAAAAATAATTGTTCAGCTGCTGCAAAAATGTCTAGAGTACAACTTACCAATGCAGCCTAGTACACCCGAGCTGAAAGGAAGATAAGCATAGGGATGTCTATCGATTGAATTTTCAGGGAGAAATCGTTCAGGGATGAATTTTTCTGGTTCGGACCAATATTTGGAGCATCGGTGAGTAGAGTAAAAGCCTAGCACAATGGAACAGCCTTCAGGTATAGTGCAGGAGTCTGAAACACATTATCTTAGATTACTTTAATTTTTGCCAACCGATGAATAAACAATATTATAAAAATTACCCAGCTCGATGTCTCCTTCCAGACGTCTCACTGTTATCGGTGCAATTGGAAACAGCCTTAGAGTTTCACGAACCACCATATCGGTATACTTCATGTTTGCAAGATACTCAGCAGTGATGTTGTCGGCCCCCAAAACTTCAAGGAGCTCCTGTCGTACTTTGTCCTGGTAAAAAATAATAAAAGAATCTAGACTCTTCAGGAACCTCAAGATATTGATTCCAAATTCACATTTCTAAATAGAAACCTGAATTTCTGGATGCATCGCAAGCATGAGCAAAGCGAAGGAGCTGACCACAGCGACCGTGTCTTGCGCCTGGAAATTGCGAAAGAATAAATCACTGACATTTATGACAAAAACATACAAAGTATAAAATGGCAAAATTTACAGCCGTAAACAGAGTGTATATTTCTTCTTTCAGTTCCTGGTCATCCATCGATTTTGTAGTTTCCAGCTGATCGATCAATTGCTCTAGCACCATCAATCTCGGTCTATTGGCACGAATGACTCCCCTCTTGAGAGCACTGTGTTCCTTCTTCTTTCGAGTTACTACCTGAAGAGAAAATCGGTAACAAGCTCGATTTTTCTACGATATTGATTCTTGTGGTTTGTCGGGTATACAATAAATATGCAATTACACTTTCGACGAAGCGGTAGATAACACTTCGCCCAGTTTTCTGTTGATTCCCCAGATCTGTAAGGTCGAAGATCCAATCGCAATGAAGCCACACCTTCATTATCCTCGTGTAAACCATCTCGTACATCCTTTATTAGAAAAGGAAGATTTTCAATCTTACGAAGAAAAGGAAAAAAAAGTAATATTTAGACTACACTTACTTCTCGGTCCAGTATATCAGGTTCAAGTAATTTCCCGTTTGCGCATTTCCAGGAACTCCCATTATAGTGTCTGGAAGGAGTTGAAACCAACGTCAACAGGGAATAAACACATTCTGTATAGCTGGACATTTTATTGATATTTCTGGATACCGTACCTAGCATCACGTCGACGGTGCACTTAGTAAGAAACGGAGCGACGTCGAACTCTCCGTCGTCGCATTTCTTTACCAATAAATCGGCGCAGTATCGACTGTGTTTGTCGAAATATTCCACACACACCGCCAATGATTTGCTGTTTAACATCGGCATTATAAGTTTCCGATGAGCTCTGTGACGCGGTCCTGTTAACCAGAAGGACGTGCACTTCTTTAATCATCCAGTTTAAATGTATCATCGACTAGAATGGCTAAGTTCCTTGAATTGTTAATACCTGATTCAGTAATTAGACCTTTTCCGATGAAGGGCTCCAAAAATCGGTACGTCCTATCCTTGTACTGCGCTTTAGGATTGTTCAATACTACCTACGACACCACAAGTTACAAAATTCATATTCCATTAAGACGGTTTTTTTTACATCCATTAGTTCAATAATTTTATATAATTAATTACAAAACCTCAATATCTTCGGGTCTTGTAAGCACGACGAAAAGTCTAGGTCCCAGCCAGAACCGAAACGGGGACTCATAAGTCCTGGTGATCTTATCGATGCGACACAGGATATCTAAACGAACAATGTGCCATGCATATCAATACCCGTTAAAATGATTTATCGAATTGATGTGCCGAATTTTGGCGTCAAGTATTCGGTGCCGTTCGCCCAGGCTTTTAAATGTATTTACCGCGAGATTCTCTCGAGTATCCTTATTAGGAAGAATTGAGCCATTGAAATATGTTTCTACCTTCGTGGCTGCAGGCGAAGGAAAGTGCATTTCCAATTATCGGCAAGGCAGGGGGGCCAGGTAATGAGGCGGCTAATTTCAACATCTTCACCCGCTGATGCCACCACTTTCGCAGGCTCTTCGTCAACCAGAGGACAATCGAGAAGAAAACAGCCCCGAGGAAGAGGCTCGCTGGAAAATGAGAAACAACTAGTAACGCCGCTCTTTTACTTTCGCTTTTACAAATACTCTGTAATTGCATCGTCTCCTTGCATATCCGCACGTACAATCGATTAATCTAGGACGCAATCAAGGTGAAAAATTTCGGTAACAGGGCATTGTTATCAGCAAATATGCCGATCACATAGCGCTTTTAAAATATTTCCGTCACGTTTTGCCTGCCGGGAAATATCGAGAAATAATTTTACACGTCGCCTAGGTCCTCGGAAGAGTTACAAAGCGAAGGAAATGACAAGTTGTTGCAGCCGTGGTTTTAATCCAGGACATTGACTTACCGAAGACAGGACTTATCCAGAAGCACATGTCCCTGTCCTCGACGAATCGGCTCGCGAACGACCAAATCATTTCCCCTGTCGATCACTTCTAGAACGCGTCACACTTTTCCAGGTAATGTGAATATCCCTTTCCTCTCCTTTACTACGATTAATTGATGAAGATCTTCAAAGTTCCGGGCCGACGAAGAAAGAGGAACGGAAGAGGTGTCTTCGAGTGCTCGTCCAGATTGCGACTGTCACACAGCACGTGGCCAGGATCCTTATACGAGAAAGAAGTATTTCGCATACATCCATCCCCTGCGCATAAATATGGAGCCGGCGTACGGGAGGTGAGAGCACACATTTAAAAGCGAAAGAAAGAAAAAAGATAAATAAATACCCAGTATAGGACCATGCCAGAAGAGCCTTGAGAAACGGAGTCGTTACGGTTTTCCCCATCAGCGGCGTTTTATCTCCCCTGTACCGCTTCCTTCTTATTCCAGGCAAACGGTCGACACAGTTCTTGACCTGTGGAAAATGGAGTAAAATAACAAGCACCGGGTACATCGTTTCGCGCGACACCGACCCTTGGCCAGCGGACCAGTAATTTATGCGCAAGGATGAACGAAGGTAAAGTACCTCGAGGTACGTGTCCCCATATCGAGACAAGCTTTACAGCCGTCAGCATGTAAGTCATGTACACGTCGCGTCATGTAAGCCGTGTACCATACTGCGCAATTTTGTCTGTCGAAACAAGGTACCCTTGAGCCAGGAGAAGGTCCAGGCAAGGCGAGTTGGAAGTTCCCTGGAAAATTGCAAATCACCAGTATTTATCGCGGACCAGTCAGACAATCAGAGGCAATGACGAAGGTGGCCAGGATCCACTTACCAGAAGGCAGGAAATCGTTGAGGAAGGGATACAGGGATATAATCGGCGCCCGGAAAATCAGGACGGCCTCTGCAATTTTTTTCCCCGGCAATGCCATGGCGATCTCCCCTCGTTAGGTCCCTCGTCTTGCGCCAATCGAATCGGGCGCAATTTCTTCATCCGTCCCGTTTACCAGGCGGTGGTCCATTTCCGGGCCGAATCCGAAGGACCGGGTCCACGTGTCCGGCTGTTTTTTCCGCCAGGGGCTTCGTCGAAGAAGAGAGACCAATTCGCGGCCACCGGCTCGGCCTATCAATTATATTACCCAGGGCACACGGGGGGCCCTCCGACCATTCACGTTCTGCAACCTAAATATAGAGTGACACTGTGGCACCAATTTGTCGAATGAATCCAGAGGTGTGTTGGTGGTGGTACTCTCAGGGCTCCCGGTACGATCTCTACTCCGCAGGGTGGATCGGCAGGGTACAGAAATCTCCGCACCGTCCGTTCGTGAACTCCTGGACCGCAGCCTCCGTCGAGAGAGGTGTACCCGGTCCACACATTTTCGGGATCTCCCGTTGCTACTCGTGCCCTGCAACCGCTTTCCAAGTCGCTGGGCTTCCGGTTCATTTTCCGTCAAACAATTCCGCATTTCGCCAACGTTCCGCCAACAGTGAAAATCCGCCACCGCCGTGCTACCGGATTTTTCCTTCCAACCCTCGCGTCTTGGACCTTAACAGTGAGTTTTGTTAATTTTATAATACCTGTTTAACTAATATCTAAGACCTCGCCGACATAAGAGTGAGCGTTACAGCTAGTTTTCTCTGTTAAACGCGGAATCCGGGGGGAAGAATGTGTAATGCCATCTCCCCCATTTTCTCATTCTCAGAGGTGAGATCATTACGCGAAGATGTCCTAATCATTGCAATCTATCCACAGCATCTGAACATTTGAAAATCTACATCAGCTAGTGACAAGACATTATCTACTTAACGATTATACAGCGCGCCCAAGTCCGCAGATATGGGCGCATCCGGACCAGGCTAAAGCAAGACATGACACCCACCCTTATTACCATTTTGGCCATTAAGAACAATAGCCTAATTCGATACAGCACCTCATTATCTCATGAGACAACGTCTCTTTCTCCGTGTAATAAAATGGGACAAGGTTGCACGATGGGAACAACGTTGGTCGAACAGCGATTCCCGGAAGTGGCTCATTGTCCGTCATCCATCATCATCAAGACCCTTGTACAGATACGTTTCACGTGACGACGATGACCGCGGCATGATTTAAAGAGCTTCATATCGGCGAATCTCGCATGTTGGGGGTCCTGCATCCTCGAGGAGTCCCGAACTCGCGTCCTCGTCCTTGTCAGCGAGCCCTCTTAATCGGTTCCTTCCCCGAAGTCGACTCAACGTTCACCTAACGAAAAATGGTCATTCCAGCAGGTCGAAGTCGGTAGGATGACGTGACTGGACATTGCACGTCCATTGAATGCTAAATTATGCCTTCAAGTGACTCACAATCTGCCGGTCGATCCCGGGTGGACAGGTCCACGAGTCCTCTGCCCCAGAAAGCGACCAACCCCGTGCAGGAGTTGAAGAACCTCTTCTCGGAGCCGCCTCTAAAGCTGACCAATGTCGACAAGGAGCAGGACTTCCGGTTCGAGGCCATCCAATGTCTCCAGTCCGCCGTCCACAGGGAACCGGAAGTCCTCCCCGACCGGGGCTCCTGGAGCAGCAAGGTGATCCTCTCGTTTCTCCGTCCTTAAATTATATTTTTTTTCTCCACGAAAAGGGCGCGTCGAAGAGGTCGTTTCTGACATTAACAAGGGTCAGCAACCCTGGTGGAAATGACTCCTTGTGGGTCCACTTCCATCTGGGCTGCTGAAAGGTTCCTGTGCCCATTCAGCGTACAAAGAGAGAGGAAGAATTCGCGAGTACATATATGTCGAGCATGCCTATAAACCCGTTCCGACGATTAGGCAAGACGTTACGTAAGGGTACGAATAATGACGTTTCGTCAGAGCGTCCGGATCCGAAGACTGGCCAGGGTTAAATTCGGCTATCGGTGTTCTTCCCTTGCAGGTGGAGTTCATCCTGTCGGTCGTGGGGCTGGCCATAGGGCTGGGGAACCTATGGCGCTTTCCGTACCTCTGCTACAAGAATGGGGGAGGTGCTTTCATGGTCCCTTACTTCATAGCCCTGGCCCTAGCAGGGGTGCCGATGTTCTTCATGGAGCTCGCCCTGGGCCAGATGATGACGATCGGCGGCCTGGGAGTCTTCCAAATAGCGCCGATATTTAAAGGTCCGGCTAAGAACCACCGATTATAAAATCCTTCCACGACACATGCCTCGAGTTTAATTAATTTAATTTATTTTACCGTCCTTTCTTTCATCGGGTGACTAAGTTTCCTCCGAGTAGGTGGTCCTCGGTGACGAGTTCACGTTTATTGTGAGAATCCCTTGTCGATATTTAGAGGTCCAGCCCTGCCTATGAGATCGTTCCATGAATTATGCTTTAAGTTTTAACTAATTACAATATTGTTTTATCATTATTTCCCTCACCTTAGTTTCGTCTAAGTAGGTGGTCCTCGATGACGAGTCCACGTCTATTGTGAGAATCCCTCGCCGATAGGCCCAGCCAGGCGTGGGTGGAATTGATGAGAGTGAAAATATTGTTCGCAGGAATTGGATATGCCACGTGCGTACTATCGTGTTGGACAAACGTGTATTACATTATCATTCTGGCATGGGCGCTATTCTACTTCTTAGTTTCTCTGCGCGCCGGTAAGCATACATATTTTCGATTGCGCAGATACCGAACGGTGTCTAAATGCACCGTCTATGTGTCCGCTCCGATTAATTCCAAGTCAATTAGTACTTGCAGGTGATTTATCGATGCTGCGTTTCAGACGTGCCCTGGAGGTCGTGCGACAATCCTTGGAACACGAAGTACTGCATCGCCGCAGCGGAACGTCTGAATGCGGTTTGCTGGAACGAAACAGGCGTTACAACGTGTGCGACTTCCGTCGGTAACCTTAGCCACACGCTTCTCAAGGATCCGGTAAAAGAGTTTTGGGAGTAAGTTAACAAGTAGAAGAGTGAATCCTTGAGAGGGAAGTTCATGGGAGGACGAAGAGTAGTCCTTGGCCCCCAAGGACTCTCCGTTCTTGGGATTCCTTCCGAATGCGAGAAAACCTTCCGTCTGGAAGACTTTCTAAAGAGTACTCACGCATAAACCACGTATATAAATAAATCGAAAGTTGACCCTGTCCTCTGGAATTGATTAAAGGAGGCGTACCCTGCAGATCTCAGGAGGCATCGAGGAGGTCGGCGGAATACGATGGGAACTGGCCGGAACACTCGCCATTGTCTGGATAATGTGTTACTTCTGCATATGGAAGGGCGTTAAGTGGACTGGAAAAGTAATTAAGTTTGTACATTTCTTAAGGGATTGTGAAAGTGGCATCCGAGGGTTCGATCGTGCATGACGCTTTTCTCCTAATTGGGTATACCGATTCGTTTCAAGCTCTACAGCGTGAATATGGAGGCTATAAGGAAGGTCCGGACCCCCATGAAATTTCACTTTTTATAAAAAAAATGTTTAAAGTGTCTATGACAAATTTAAAAAAAAATGGAAATTTCATGAGCTTGAAAGGATTCGGTACGCGCAGTTCGAAGAAAAGTTTCATGAATGTCTTTGATGCCATTTTCACATCACCTTAATTCCAGGGAATCTTAACAAACACGTATACATGTAATACCGATAACTGGACGAGGAAGTAGAAGTCAATGCGATTAATCAGCGGTCTCTAGATTTAAAGAAGATCTTCGTTCGCAGGTCGTCTACTTCACGTCGTTGTTCCCGTACGCTTTGCTAGCTCTTTTACTAGTAAGGGGTCTAACGCTTCCAGGAGCCATGGAAGGTTTGAGGTACTACGCTACACCTAACTTATCCAAGCTCGGAGATCCAGAGGTAGTTTCGCAGTACTAGTTCTAGGTATTAAATTAACCGAGCGACGGTTAACGAGAATTAATAATAAAAACCATGTTTCGACCAGGTGTGGATAGACGCCGTGACGCAGATTTTCTTCTCTTACGCCCTGGGCCTCGGCGCACTCGTCGCCTTGGGCAGTTACAACAAGTTCAACAACAACGTTTACAAGTAAATTAAATTTCCTTAGAAGTGTAAACGACAATTGACATCGGTAACGTGAATGTTCCTTAACAGGGACGCGCTCATTGTCTGCACCATCAATTCTTGCACGAGTATGCTCAGCGGTGTGGTGATCTTCTCAGTAGTTGGTTTCATGGCCCATGAGCAGCAAAAACCAGTGGCTGACGTAGCTGCTTCTGGCAAGTGTTTCTTTGTATTTGGATTTGTCTAATTAATTTATTTTTTAATAATTTTTCTTTTAGGTCCGGGACTAGCCTTCCTGGTTTATCCCTCCGCAGTGCTGCAGCTTCCTGGAGCATCGATCTGGTCATGCTTATTTTTCTTCATGCTTATCCTTATCGGATTGGACAGTCAGGTAAAATACTGCATGGGGTTCTTGGTTGAGTTATTAATATGGGGATAGATGAAAGATAAGAACAAGTCTTATTTTAGTTTTGCACCGTGGAAGGCTTCATAACTGCTGCGGTGGATGAGTGGCCTCGACTTCTTAGGAAGCGAAAGGAGATTTTCATTGCCATTGTCTGCCTTATCTCTTACCTTGTTGGACTCACCTGCGTTACAGAAGTAAGTACGATGAAAAATGGTTAATGCATAAATGTAATCATCTTGGTCGCTCTGATTTCATTCGCAGGGTGGAATGTACGTTTTCCAACTTTTGGATACTTATGCCGTCAGTGGATTTTGCTTGCTATTCTTGATGTTCTTTGAGTGCATCGCAGTCTCCTGGGCGTTTGGTGTAAATCGCTTTTATGATGGTATCAAGGAGATGATAGGATACTATCCTTGCTTTTGGTGGAAAATTTGTTGGATGTTCACTACACCGGCAATTTGCATCGTAAGTTTCAGCAATCGACTGGACCAATGTATAAGCTTGAATTAAATCTTTGTGTCCTAGGGTGTCTTCACATTTAACATTATTAAATTTGTTCCTGTTAAATACTTGTCATATGAATTCCCATGGTGGAGTCATGTACTTGGCTGTTTCGCTGGACTCTCATCGATGATGTGCATCCCAGGTTATATGATATATGCCTGGTGTGTAACACCTGGAACTACTTCCGAGGTAAATATTTTTCATGTGGGGTAATTTATATCGGTTACTAATTTGTAATGATTAATTGCAGAAATTTAGAAAACTAGTGAGAATAAAAGACGACATCGCCACACTGAGAAGAAAGTTGGCTGCATCTAAAACCACTGTTTCCACGGCACAGTGTGAACTATAAAACGGTTGTGTAACTGTGGTTTAATACAAGCTATATTGCTAAAAGTGTGAATGACAATGAGAACTTATTAAACTGTTGATATCGATGCGTGCAAGAGGCATGTATGTACATTAGCAACGTTATAAGGTACAACAAACCATTTATATTTAATATAGACCATATGAAAAACCTTAATGTAAGGCAAATAAATATTACATGTGAATGATATTAGATTACCTGATAATTACACGACAGAATTATATTTAGTACACCTTGCTAGGTAAGTTAAATAATTCCAAGTGGATAGTACAACTTAAACAAGAGTTTGAAAAACTCAATAAATTTACTAATATTTTTAAATTGGACATTTGGTAACTTAACATGCAGCTTATTTATCTCTTTGTTGTATTTCCTTAATACGATCCATAAGACGTTGTTTCCACTGATCTTCCGAAACGGTATTGGCCCACTCCGGGATCGCGACATCAGGTAATTGAATAACTGTCATCAATGACTTTACTTGATTAATTTTTTCAGCATCTAAATCAATGTCAGGTCGATGGTTCTGAGTTGACCAAACTTGGATGGTTTCTGAAGGAACGTTCTGTGTCATTTGTTGATCTCGCATCGAAGATTCCGTTAACATTTCACTTAAGTCACGCGATGGCAGAGCCCATTCGTCATCCTTGAAAGAAATTAAATCTATGAGTACAAGGAAAGGAATAAACTATTTCTTCAAATATAATATTACATACCTCATCATCTTCGAGCATTGGTTCGGAGTCAATAGGGATTTGAGATAGTGGCATGTAACCTGCCATTGCCATGTCCTCTTCATCTTCGCTATCGGAATCAGTTAAAGCTCGCGCTCCGATACTGATATCAGGTGCATTTAGATTTTCTTTTACTGGTTCTTGCGTTGGTTCGGGAGACATCATTTAGCGTGGAGTTAAGAATTACCGAATACAATTGAATGATCGACAAGGTTTCTAAAAGTCATACGGATGTATAGTTGCCATGGGTAACTGTACAAATAAATTACGTTTCTTGGCATACTTACTGGTTAACCTATACAATTTTGACAGATGACTTTCAATTTTCTTCCTTTCCGAGAATTGAGTAAACTTCGATACTTTACTCGCCTTGATTCGAAGGAAATAGACAGAATACGTACGTTTCTGCGATACTTAATTAAAATGATTATGTTTAAATATAATTAGTTGATATCCGACACAATAAGCTTGCAACTGAAAACAAATACCACGAAGCACCGTTACTAATCCTTTAACTATATAAATCAAGGAGCTACTTCTGATGACAATGAAGCGAATAAGTTAGTGCTGCCATCATACGGCATAGCTTTGAAACCTATATACTTTTTTAGTTGATCATTCTCTTCCATTATTCTACAGGGTCAGTAGTCATGTTCTGGCACGTTCAATCGGGACGCAGACATATCAATTGATTGTTAACAATTGTTAATCTGTCTTGTTTTTTTAAAAATACAAGCAAGTGAATTTGTACCAAAAGCTATTTTTTGTGGCAAAACTTATCGCGAACACGGTGTCGTGAGATTATAAATTGAAAATACACGATTCAATTAAAAAACTGACAATTTACGCTTCTGGATCCGCTGCTTCTATCAACAAATATATCTTTACATTGAAATGGCAGATGAGAATGTCTTATTTGTAAGAGGAAGTAATGATGTATGTTTCGTTCTCTGTGATGGTTTTATAATTCCATTTTGGCAGTAAATTGATAATCATTCAAGTTTTCAAAAAGAGGTTATAATAAATTGTAGTTGGATCGATACCAAACAGTTTACTACATAGTTAATTGAGTTAGAGTTTATTTTTAGAACTATACGGTAAGTCAACTCTTTTATTAACGCTTTCAGAAAAGTAGCGGTTCGGAAGAGGATGTTTGGGATGATACTGTGCTTATAAAAGCGTACGACAAAGCTGTAAATTTAGCTAAGGAGACAGCAGCTAAACGAATGGGAATCAAACCACAAAATCCTGTCACAAAACACACTGGTAAACAGAAATCACAAACTAATAAGACACCAAAGAATACAAACAAGGTTTGCATATTATAATAAATCCTTTCACCAGTTGTTTTAATCAAGAATTTTGTAATTGATTTATTCTATTTATGGCAGGTGTGGGTTACAGGGTCTCCGTGCCGTGCAGTGTATTCCGAAGACCAAGAAGTTTACGAGGCCATAATAACAAATATACATGACGATCATAAAACGTGTACCATTAAATTTATAGGTAATACTTCAGTTTCTCTGAATCTTCATCGATTAACGTCGGATGGTATAAAATTTTAATTTACATTCTAGGATATGGTAATACACAGACAGTGGAACTTGATTCACTTTTAGAATCAGAAGGCTTGGAAAGTCAAATACTTCAGCAAAAAGAAGCACTAGCAGGTGCAAGTAATCAGAATGGGACAGAGTCTGCTTCAAATTATCCATATCATTCAAAAGACACTAATGGCACATGTGGAGAAAAGATGGATTGTGACACGGAAGACTCGAAAGTGTTCAAAAACATTTTTTCTAACCCCACTCAGTCTGTTAGTCCGATGTTGGGTTTGATGCCACCTCCTCCGCCAATGCCACCACAAATGATGGCTAGGTGAAATATGTTGTTTTAATCAATAACAATACAAATATAAGTTACAAAATAATCAATTGCTTTCCAGATTACCGGAAAACGATGCGGATGCTCTCTCCAGCATGTTAATGTCATGGTATATAAGTGGCTTTCATACAGGTAATTGCATAATTTTTAGTAAAACATGTATGCAATGCTCTTCAATAACTAAATGTATCGATCGTATTTGCAGGATATTATCACGGCTTAAAGCAAGCTAAAAATAAAGAGAAAATGAGTAAACAATAAACGATCTACTTTTGAAGAAATTCAATTTGCTTATTATTCAAAGTAATGTCATATTAATTATAAGAAGTCTCATGATGTAAGACGTTCTATTTTTATTTAAACTACGTGTTACTCTGATTCATTGATTTATTTGTTAAACAGAAGTAGTAATTAAAATTAACATAATACTTTGAATTTCTGCGATTCATGTAAGATGTGATTGCTGCCATTTTCTATACTTGTCTACAATTTTTATATCTAGAGGCTTTACACTTTTCAAAGCATTCGTTAGAAACGATGTCCTAGTAATTAAGACATCGGTTGGTACATCGTTTAATGTAATTTTCTTGCTTTCTAAACCTGACCAAATTGGACGCAGTTGATTCATCCAAGCTTCCTTGCATAAAAGCTTCAAGTCTGCACATGAGAATCCCTCGGTCAGACTTAAAAGATAATTAAATTCTTCCGTGAAGAACAGATCAACATGAATGAAGGATTGTAAAAATCTAGAGCGACTGTGTCGGTCTGGCAAATCAACGAGAATTTTCTTCTCCAACCGCCTCAACAACGCGGCATCCAAATCCCTGTAATAGAATCGAGTTCATTGAGTCCTGTAAAATTACATTTCCTAGAAGAAAGTCGTTACCAAGGCACATTTGAAGCAGCCAGGAGTAATACTCGGGCACTTTCCATAGACAGCAATCCATCGAGTCTTGCTAAAAGCTCTGCTCTAAATCGTCTCGATGGTTCAGAGTTTGATGATGGCAAATCACCAGTCGCAGTCCAATCGACCTCATCGATGAAGATTACAGTAGGTGCGTAATACTTTGCAAGGTCAGAAAGCACCTAAAACAATTTTCTTTAATTGTAAGAGAAAGAAAAAAAAAATGTATACTTCACGTGGAAAGAACAATATTTTTTAGGCGATGTATAAGTACAAAAAAGGTTTACTTTAAGGTACTGAAACTCACGCGAATGTACTTTTCAGAATCGCCCCTCCATTTGCTGACGATTGAACTTGACGTGATGTTAAAGAATGTACTCTTGCACTCGGTTGCTACAGCTTTTGCTAGCATGGTTTTTCCTGAAGAAAATAATTATTTTGGTATGACAATCATAAGCAACGTATATACAGAGTAATAAACGTACCTGTCCCAGGAGGGCCATACAAAAGAATTCCTTGCCACGGAGTCATCTTTCCTTGAAACAAACTTGGATACATCATAGGGTATACAGCGGCTTCCTTTAAAATAGTTTTGCATTCATCCAAGCCTTCTATATCGTTCCAATGTACATTTAAATCGGTTATTACGATCTCCTACAAAGAGAATATATTAAACGTATTAAAAGAAATATAGCTTTCTTCATCTAATTCGATATTCCATGACTTACCCTGCATATAACATCCGCCAGTTCACGCCATTCGGATCCAACTGGATACAAGTCCCCAATTGGCTTTACGATCCTCTCATTGTCGAATACATTGGCCTCGAAGGTACTTTTGTTCTGCGGTTGTTCACAACTGGCGTAATTTGGAAAAATAGGAGTGACCATAATTTCAAGATTCGGTTCACTCGAAGGAACGGCGTTTTCCTTTAGCGTTGATTTCTGCTTAATCGAATGATTATCCTCGTCCAATTTTCGGATATTTTTATTTATCTTCTCTTTTTTGTTATACTGGGAAGCGCCTCCATTAAGGACATCCACCTTCTTGCATATCTTCGGATACTTATTATACCTCGCGTAATAATACTCCGAGTATTCCAGTAAAATAGTTTCCAGGTCGACGTTATCACATATCCGATAGTCATCCGACAACTGGGCTTCCTTAGCTAAATTCCCGGCGGATTCTAGATACCTGGAAAATATTTAAGTACAAGAGCCATTTCCAAAATCAGAGAATGTTATTACTTACCGGTTCTCTTTCAGATAATCCGCGATGAGGTAAATCAAGCTCCTACGCCGTTCCTGGACTCGTTTCTCCGCCTGTAAATACAAAAACAATTATCTCCGCCGAATTCGGATTAATTTCTATTAATGGCTTAATAGTTATCCAAGAGTTTACTTGCCTTCTCGCGTACGAGACAATTAACTTTGCTGCTCGACACCTGTAACGAGGCGCAATCCATCGCGAGAGTAACAGGTGAGGACGGAATAAGTAGTCCAGATTAACGGCGGAATAGTTGAATATCCTTAATAGACGGAGATAAAACCGTATCGCTTGTGGAAGCTTATTGAAATAGCCAATCAATGAGAAAATTGGTTGCTCGAAAAGCAGCGTCGATTCGTCGCCATGGCAACGCAAAGGTTGTTGTTTCCAGTGGCTACTCATTTCCTGTCTCATCATTTCACCTGTACACGGTGCCTGTTAAATCCTCGAGTACTCGATCCAAAGGTTCGTCGGTTCCTTCCAGTTATCATCCACGGATGCAATTACAATGAAAGATTATTCCCCGAAGTCGTTTCACGCTCTTCGCTGACCTAAGACAATCAATTCGACCTAATCCAAGGTTTCGGCCGAGAATTGGCACCTGCCGTAGAAGTGGTTACTTCGATTCGATGCATCACACCTGCATTCTAAATTTCCTCCGCAACTCGATATACTTCCGTCCTCCCCTAACGATCTCTTTCCTCTCGGTCGAACGTGTCCTCTTAACAGAAAAAAAAAGAAAGGGAGAAATTAAGTACAATACTCGACCCTCGAGACGTACATTCTTTCCCTCTTGGGAAAGACATGGGATCATGAACATGTCTTATGGCGTATGTAGCCCGAAAAATCCCATGTCTACCCCACGAGGGAAAGAATGTACAAGGACGAAGTGCTCGATGAGCATGAAAATGTACAGCGATGTTAATTTTCAGGGTGGACAGAGAATGCGTTAAAAAGCAATGTGAGACTTTTTACCGATCCTTAGCTATAAGACGTTCATGTGAAAATCAAGGAAACCTGCTTGGACCTTTTCTATTTATCCGTTTAGTCGGGACGGAAAGTGAACATTGTGGTGGGCAAGGATTCCGAAATACAGGGGGGAGACTCTTCCCCCACGTGTCGAGAGCTTTTAATTGTCGGTGCAGCGTGCAACGCGCGGCCGCGACCTACGTCAACGGGTCCCGAATGCGACGCTACGTGGGACTTTTAATTTGACTTTGGCGGGGGTGCGTTGTGCTTTCGAGGGGAAACGCGGCCCGGCGGGGTGGCGGCAACGAGGCAAGGATGCAGAGAACGTGTTCGATCGACCCATGAACGTTGCTCGTTTTCACTGCGTCACAGAGTAGTAGAGGCGGGTGCCTGGAGCCGAGGCACAAATCAGTGCATCCCGAGCTTGCAACCTGGAACGGTCGGGTTGCAGGGACCTCGGGGAAGCCAGCTTGCAGCGTGCTTCCGGCGAGGAAACCGGGAATTCGGGAATTCGCAAAAGTCTCGAGCCTTTGGCGCCATCGAAATCACTGGAAAAAAAAAAAAAAGAAACGTGAAACCGAAATTCGAGGGTGCTTTCGGGGTACCCCGGATGAGGAAGCTTTCCGAAGGTAGTGCCTCGCACAAGTCGAAATACGGCGATAAACGCTGAGATTTTTTACCGGTTATGTCGTTACGTAGGTGTTGGGAATAATTAAGTTCCCCTTTATGACTGGCACTGCCCACGTGGGTTTGACAGTTCGCGTTCATCCCTCTGCGTTGGGTCTCTCTGCCGGAGCTTTGAATCCAAACCAGGCTTACGTCGGATTTCTTAACTCCTCGTAATTTCAGATCGACTTGGAGAGAAGTCTCGAAGAAGATGTTCCTTGCAATAGTTTCCTCGGATGATTCCGAGGTAACGAGTCGAGTCGGTTTGTTATTACCGCGATCACGCGACTCCCACATGCGGCGGATCGGTCCAGACCCACGCGGAATCCGCAATATATGCTAAGCGGGAATTATTCCTCCGATTCTGGCTAATCCTTGGCAATTGTTACTCGTGTCCAGGGAGCATGTTCCTGCCGGCAGTTCGCGGGAAGAGGCTGCTCGTCTAGCTGCTCCAGAAGTCGTCTTAAGGACCCTACACGCTTCCGGGAACACGATGGGGTCCTCGAGCGTCCACCTGGGGCTGCTCGGAAGGATGTTCCTTTTGACTGCCTTTCTTCTCGTACTTCAGAAAACAGGTGACAGACGTTTACCGCGTTTTCCGAACCTTTAAACCAAGCTATGCATGATTCGGACACTCCAACTCGAGATAAGTCTTACCTTAGATGCCTTGGAGGAGAACTGCACGGACTTCCAAGGGAGCACCGTGAGACACGGACTTCTTTACGTGCCTGGACCAGCAGTGTGCAGCCTCTGTGTTTGTTATCATTCGGAACCCATGTGGTGTCAGGCGATCTACTGCTCTCCGCCCTACGTGAGTAATTTCATAAATGTTTCGTACGCATTCGCGTAATCGAACCAGCCCCAATTCCCGATGAGATTTATTGCCGTCCGTTCTATGTGACCGGTCCTTATTGGAAATTGCTCCGCTCGTTGCACTCCCGGTACGTGACCTATTCTGTTGAGGTATTCGAGAGGAAATGATATGTCTTTTCCATGCCTTCTTAGATACCTTAAATAACTGGTAGTGCCAGGACAAGAGCGTCGATATGGGTAGTTCATTTATCAGTTCCCCAAGGATTACGTAAAATGCCTTAATGCCTACCTGCATAACTATTTCCCGAGCTCGCGTGTTCCTTTTCCCGTATAGAAATTCGATCGCTCCACTTCGTCATCGTGGAAAAGAGTCCTTTCCGTGCATCGAGGTCGTGGAAAGCTCGCAACCTTCTCGTAATCGTAATTTACTTCGATACCGTGCACGGTCGATATTTTTATCTCCATAATTGCGCTCCGAGTTCAGCTCCGGAATCACTGAAAAAAAAAGAAACAATATAAATAATGTTCACGTAAAAAGAAATCCCCTCCACGCTAAGTCCTTCGGGGGATCTTTACTAAGTGCGAGGGAAATTGCGGGTGAATTGATAATTCCATGACGCGATGAACTTTTTTTCCGCATTCATGAACCGTTTCCACTTAGTTATTACGTCGTTTGATGTTTGCAAATGCATTCGGGTTTGCGTACGATGGAAAATGAAAATGCAGCTATTTTAAGAAATACGCGGCGCATTTAAGCGCCGCAGTTGAGGCATTCTGACGATGCCAACAACGATACATATTCATTGCGAGTACTCGCAATGCCGGCGAACACCTCTCGTCCTCGGCCGCGACTTCGGTAGGAATAAAAATTACAAATGAGGCCCATTTGCCTCAACTGCTGCCATCCTGTTTTCCCCTTTGATTCCGAGGAAATGAAATGGATCATTCCCTAATGCATCGTTCTACGCGGATAAAAATGTCCCTGTAAATTTACACAATCATTGGTTATTTCGATGCCACGATAAATTCCAGTAAAATTACATTCTCTCTGTAATATCACACTCAGCAACCGAGTTAAATTATAGAAAATTATAATGTAACGTTACATTAAATTCAAGTAAAAATGCGCCAATGCGGTAAATATGCAATTTTAGGAATACGTATACGCTTTCTAATCTGTAACTCTTCCATTTTACGTTTTTCTACGCGAAACTTAAGTTACGAGGCGTGTGAAAATGTATGTAAATTTTCATCGATTTTTATTGTAACAAGAAAAACGTGGCGTGAAATTACAGGAATTAATAATAAATATTCGGAGAGTCAGCAGGAAATGACCTAGACATTTATTTCCTGGACAGAGGATTAGATGTTGTAATACTTGTAAGCTGATTAGGAAGACCCTAAAGGAGCGTGAATAAGAATAAACACGACGTTGTCACGTGTAATGGGTAAAGTCAATTTACCGTTTACTCTTCAATCCCATCTATATTTTTCATCAACCTCTTCCGGACATATCGATCGCGCACTATATAAATGATTGCCACTTTAAACCTTAATTGCCCCGGTACGATAATTAGTAGGAGTTCGTGGGACGTTGCTTGTTAATTTCCGTAATTAATTTCTTGCGTTATCGGCCAATGTCAAAGTTCTTAATTATCGGTTTTGCCTCCCGGTCCCGGTCGAGGGGGGGTACGGCAAGACGTATAAAAAATTGGGTCACGAGGAATACCCCTCTATTCGTACATGTATTTCCACTTCCGTACATACATTTATGTATCTACTGAGCGATTCTTCGTGCCTTCATTGGCACACCGCACAAGCTGTAAAATGTAAAAGCTCGCCACTAGAATACCAATGTCATGCAAAAGTGGGGACGGTACATGTCGGCTCATTTATATCTTCATTTTCTCCACGTGGTATCTCATTAACTCGTTAATGATCTGTTTCCCTAGTTGGTGAAATATTCACGCGAAGGTCCCTTGGTCTCTTACTTAGATATTTTCGGTATCGACTGCAAGCTAAGGTCACGGATCGTTTTCAATGGCCATTATCTAATTTGCATCTGTTATCAGAAATGCAAGAGGTTTCGAGTCGGAGAGCGTTGTTGCGAATTCGAGTGCCTGGACGAGACGGATGCTGATTGGACCGGTCCCGATTTAATCATCGCCGCAGGATCATCGAGCAGACCGAAGCTGAGTATTTTCAGCGTCCTGGCGATCCTTGCTCTTATTATAATCCCCTAATTTAATTCGGTATCTCCTTGCTCCTTTTCTTATAAAAGTACAAAGTCAAAAGCGCGCCTGACTACGGTAGCCGTCTGCTCGCGAGAATATTTATAAATCATTCAAGCGGGTAATAAAAACCGAGCGGGCGTCCGGAGTTTTTTAATAGGCTAGGCGAAAATAGGGGAGAATCGACCGCGTCTAAGTGCCGCGTGCATTTCCGAAGGAAACTGCTTTTGCAAGATACCTGCAATTATATGCAGTTAATGGCAGCTTCGTTAAGTCTTTCGACGAATTTCACGCCTATTGAGCTCTAAGCGAGTCGCTTCGATTTTTATTCCAGACTTGGATCCCGTAGGTCGGCTTGCGAAAGAATTCAGAATAGCGATCGAGCGGTCAGACTATTTAGAATGTTAATTACCCCCTGGGCCATTTCAAGGGAATAATCGAACTTGGACTCGCAAATCGGCTGGGCCGGTTGAAAGAAAATCCATCCACTTTTTCTTTTTTTCCCGAAGACGTTCAACGATTTCTCATATGTCACGTTTAAAGCCGACGCGTCGGGGAATTAATGGGATTTATATCGGTATGGGGTAATGCGAAGAAAAAAATAGGATCCACTTGTTAAATGGCTAATTTGTACATTTTAAGACGTTTAAAGCGGGACCCACTTAGGTAATCGACGAGTACATATCCACTTGTATAGAATTTGGTGCTACTGATGGAGTGAAAATATAATTGAAATATTTATATAGCCTGTATGCGAGAGATTAGACTAGTTAATGGCGAGGGTTCCAAAGGACCGAACGTTGCCTAATTTTACGTGATACGAGAACCTCGCTTTAATATAGTTTAATACTTTCGCATAGAAATGGAAACAACGCGACATATCACGCCATTAATAGGTTTTCGCTTCTGCGCTATTGCAAATAAGATTTTTCCACTACCCTATTGAAAGAAAATTGAAAAGCAAATATCCCAGATTGTGGAACAACTATGTATAGTAATTCCGATTCTTTCAATTTGAAAAGCTGGAAGAGAGCACGTTTCTGTTTAATCTACGAGCGTAATCACATAATGGAATAGAAGATTGTAACGTTTGGATATTATATCTAAAGGTGAGCTTAAGTTTGGCCATCTTCGGCAGGTGCCTTTTCGGAAACAGCTCAATGATCGAACGAGTTCACCTGTTTCTCAATCTGGGAACTATTTTTCGCTAATATTTTTAATTCGTGACAGGGTAAGACGTCTGTGTTAGAATAAGGTCGCGATGCGATCGACGGGGCTAGAAATACTCGTGTGTAAATAATTCATAGGACGGGAAGGACGTGCAAGGAACGGTTCATTTTATCGGTCAAAAGAGCCCGAATGCTCTATAAGCAAATATTCCTTTCCATTTCTATATCTCTTCTCGCTTTATAAAAAATAAGCTTGAAAGTACGATTGTTATATCAAAAGGCCCACCCTAGGTTGTAATACCTGGGACGAGTCCCGACTTATAAGTTACATTTTAGTACATCTCTTTGATCTAATCAGCCAATTACCTCTTCTTGATATCGATTAAAAGACGAATGTAAAAGTAACGAAAAATCAATGAAATCGTCACGATGGAGAAAGCCATAACGATGCTTCTAATGTATACCGATTGACCAATTTCTCTAAGCTTACGATTAACATTAATATTTACACGTACGAATATTTATTACCCAGTACCAGTGTAAATACATCGATAATGATTCTTGCATATCATTACAACGTGTGATTACTTCTGACCATAATTCGGATTATATAACGATAAAGGGGCCTTTTATGTATAAACGATAATTATAAATTCACCGCAATTATCGACAGAAGTCACATTAAACGAATTTGAAAATAATCCTCACTGTTTTCTGAATACTCCCTTAATAAACCTACAAAATGTATTTCTTCTTTACCGTATCAAGTATGTCCACGATTATTCCGTGGAGTGTAATAAAATTAGTCCTTCTTCTTCCAGACAGTTTCATACAAGTCGGTGCGCCTTTGACGGAACACTGGAATTTGTGCTCTGACTTCGTCCACTTTTTTCAAATCTGAAAGAAGAATATTTAAATTGTTATAGACGGGTATATTGAAATGAAAGTACTGTTGAAATTCCATTTTCAGGGGCGACGAGAGATGATATCTCGATTTTTAAAACGACAGTTCCAAGAGCTTTAACGAGAGCGAAACTCCGTGCGAACGCGGACGATCGCCTGTGTCATACATGACATTTTCACTGACGAATAATCAAGCAATGTCCTCATTCGTGACGCACAGAGAATGAAGACGATTTAGCGCGTGATTGCGACATGAGCTATCTGCTTTTTGCCTGGCTTTGCCACCCCTCAAAATTGGCCCTAGCAAACTGTCGTCAATTTATCGACAATCATGTGCAGCCAAGTGGCCAGCAAGTCATTCCGAGTACGTGTTGGATGACTGACCATGCGTGTCTCCATTAATTTCTATCTCCTCACCTACGTCGGATACGATCATGTCCTCTTCGGCATCCAACTCCGCAAGGATTTCGCCCCAAGGATCGGTAAGTTGGGAATGACCCCACGCAATGTATCCAGCACCTAGTCCTCGTGCAGGAGATATGCAGGCAACGAACAGCTGATTGTCATTTGCTCTTGCCCGTTGAAGAAGACTCCAGTGCAGAGGACCAGTTGTCATATTAAACGCCGCCGGGTATATCAACATTTGGCAACCTGATGACAGGATATTTCCGTTTGACGAGTACATGCACTCTATGTATTCAATTTAAATGGAATTTTACCTAAATTTCTGTACAACCGTGCCATTTCCTCGAATCTGATATCGTAGCAGATCCCGATACCGATCTTGCAGCCCAGCATGTCAATGGTCGTCAAGGAATCGCCTGCACTGAGGGTGTCACTTTCTCGGAATGTCATTTTTCCTTTAATGTCAATGTCAAACAGATGCATCTGCCGATTCATCATGTTTTTATATCAAAAGCGTGTACACTCGAATTGGACGTTTATGTGAAAGTATATGTAAAATAAAATAAAATAGGAAATGGAATTAAAAATCCCGTACCTTCCTGTGTTTCCCTATGAGCTTTCCTTGTGGATCCCAAACGGTACATGTGTTGTAAAATTTGTCCCCATCCTTTTCGGGTATTGTGCCGCCGATCACGTGAATACCATTTTTTTTTGCTGCCGCAGACAATGCCGTACATGTCTGACCGTCTGGGATAGGTTCTGCGTACTTTGGAAAATGGGCTAAAACCCGAATATATTATTTACGTGATCATAATGAATAGATTTTATTTAGTTCAAGTCTATCAATGATCCGTTGAATGTTTTTTTTTTTAATGGCAAAATCTAGTATACTGGTATACAGTTAAAATGTAGAGAGGTGCTTACCAGTTCCATAAGGAGAGTTAAAACATTCAGGGAGAGCAACCATATCAGCTTGTTTTTGCTTTGCACGTTCTATGAATGAAATTGCTCGAGAAACATTTTCTTCCTTGTTGCTGTTTACCGCAAGTTGCACTAGGGCGACTCGAAAAGCTGAAAAATCGATTACATATAAAAAAAGGTATCAACTGCAAAACTAAGAAATTTATCCTACGAAAATCTTTAACATACTTGACATTGTTGCGTAGAACCGTTTGCTGATTAATCTGGATAGCATGTCACTTTCGATTTGAGGTTATGTCATAGCAGATTAGCACCAGTGACGTACACTTCGGTTTATGTAAAATATGGGAACATGTTATTAATTTGCATTTATGTATAAAAGAAATATTCGTATAAGCCTTGAGGGAGATTTAGGAAAAAGAATTTGTTTCACCTAAGGGAATAGAAAGTAGGAACGATTCTTACAGAACCTTGGAAAGTACGGTAGATGAAATGTAGGATACATCTACTGTATACTGAAGTAGTAAGAAAAAATAAGTTTTATTACAAAATTGTATAAACGAAATTGTACAATGGAGTCAAACCTTAAAACTTTGTCTAATATTTATCATCGTCATCTCATGGATAACTGAGATCGGGGTTTCTATAATTTACGATTTTTTACATCCAGATATTCGGTGACTGCTTCGGTCTTTTCTCCTTTCTCGTTCCTTGTCTTTCTTTCTACTTTTTCTGCTCGCACGTTCAGAAGAACTATCTTGCCTTTTGTGCTTTTTTGACTTCTTTGATTTCTTCGATTTTCGATCACTGTCACTATCGCTGGTATCTTTTCGTTTCCTTGACTTTCGGTCTAAACTGCTGTCTTCACTGGAAGAGTGCTTTCTCCGCTTTTTTGATTTTGATCGTTTTTTTGAACTTTTAGATTTCTTGCTTTTATTCCTAAGTTTATCGTTGTTCTCGTCTGAACTCATATTTTTTAGGTCCCTGTCATTTGATTCCTGACGAGTGTCTTCTGGTTTTTGGTCGTTCAAGTGTTTGTCTTTGTACTTTTCGTACGATGATGAATCTGAAATTAATTCAGGAAAATATTAAAGCCTAAATCTTCTGATTTAGAAATCTTACTTTTGAATCATGAAAATGGGACTTTTAAAGAGAATGTGGATAATTGTTACTGGTTTCTACAATTACATAGCTGGAAAAATCTTCAAATATTTGACAAAATTTCAACTTTCTTCTCATTAAAAGTCCCGGTAGTTGTACGGAATACACACTTAAAACTTTAGCATTTTTTGAGTATTCGTCCTTTGTTACTGCTTGAACCATGAATTCATTAAGGGAAACAATGTTTCCCCCAAGGGCTAATTTGACTATTAATCTTCCGGCGTCATCATCCAATCCTTCAATTTCTCCATAATTATTGTTGTATTTTCCAGCAATAATTTTCACGAAAGCTCCCTTCACTAGTTTCAACTGTTCTTCATCTTTCCTTTTGACTTCTTTTTGTTTTTGCAACGTTACTTTGTCTGCACCTAGCCCCATACCTTTTGGCCGTAATTCGGGTATTGTTGCTGCGACGACTCTAAACATTTTGCAAATCTTATGTTACCAACATTAAACCTGAAATTTTAACGGCTATGTCTATAGTGCAATAAATACACATGCAAGAGTAAAATATTCAAACGAGACAGTACTTTTCATTTCTCCCAATGCCCTTCCCAGGTTGCCATCCCATTCCTCGCAGCATTGCTACGCCAAACTTATCAATGGGAATTTGCTCGTAATCTTCTAGCGTGGACTATAATGCAGAAAACAGCTGTTAATTACGTCATCGGTGTAATGACATAAAATATTTAGATTTTAATCACAAACCTCTTCCTGACCAAGCAGAGATTCATTTTGTGGAACAGGTAATGCCACGTCGATATTGTTTTCCACCTTAACTTCAGCAGTTGTAAGCTCTTCGATAATCTCCTTTGCAGCTTGTTCCTCTAAAGTTTTAGTTGGTTCTTTAACATCGTCATCTATTTCCATTTTAATTTCAATACGTTCCGTCGATGGCAGGTTACATTTATTCAAAAGAACCCCATTGTCAGTGATGTTTTCAGTTTTCTTCTCATCTTTAATCCGTGATGCATCATTTTCGCTCAATTTTTCTTTAGTTTCAAAGATGTCGGCATCTACTTTGTTAATAATTCTGTCATGCCACGTCTTTGGTCCCAGCATAGGAATTACAAGAGGCTCATCTTTCTTTTCTTCCTCTCTATAAAATAAAATAGTAAAATACCCTGAAAGAGGTTATGTCCTACTCTGCATTTTCTAACCAATCTAAATTTCTCACTCACCCGAAAACCTTGATAGACTTTTCGTCCAGACATTCGATGTAATCGACTTTTTTCTCTTCGGGAAGCGGAACATTTTTCAGAGTAGGTTTCTTTAACGACTTTGAAAATCCGAAAGACACTTTCTTGCCTTCCTCTGCCATCTTACCCCGAATAGTAATTACTATAAATTATACTATTCAACTCCCTGAACGTTAAATAATATTCTTACAGGTAAAGTTACATCTTGTCCACAGCAGTAAACTCTGCGACTTCTTTTTCGGAAGATTTTAAGGATAAAGGAATCTTGCTTCACACCATCACTTTACATGAATTTTTGGCACTGTTTGGCACAAAGCCGCACATACATACACGAAAAGTCGATGCATTGAACCGATGAATTCACATTTTCTTAGACCCGGTATCAATGCAAAACCGTGAACACATCTAAATAGTTCCGCAAAGTGGCGCTGCTCTCCAAGTATCCTCGAATCTACATTCCACGCTGAAGAAAGAAATAGAGCTGGATAAAGAAATTAAAAGTATCTAAAACTAAACCAATGACTTCCTTTAGATTAAAAGCTCCAAATACATTATATTATTATAAACTTCGCTAAATACTCTATAAAAATAAACATCTCGGAATAAATTTTCTCGCGGCGAGAAGAACGAGAATCTTGTATTTTTTTTCTTTTCCTTTAAGGAAATTACTCCTTTTTCTGCCCTGCAGTTCGTTTTCGCTCTCAGGAATCTGGTACTGTTATGCAAAATGACGCGAGTGCGTTGCACCCGCAAATGCCTCCTGGGACCTAGACAAATACATGGGTCACAGCGAGATGCGGTTTCAGTCAGCATCGTTCCACCCAACTGACAGCTTCGTGTCTACCGGGTCCGCAGTTTATCCCGAAGTAGGTAATTAAACCCTTGTTACTCAGTCCTTATTGCTAGTTGCATTTATTTTCCTACTACCTGTTAATTTAGTTGCTCAACAAGTTGGCATCGTTAGACGTGATTATAGTGTCCCTAATGCGGAGGGATCCGCGCAAGAGTTGTGGATTCCCGGAAACTTCGACCATCGCTGGAGAATTTCGAAATTTGCATGGAAATTGTCATGCAATCTACCGAGCGGGAATTATTAAACGAAATAAAATTAGGCGCGTCAAGATTTTTATGCGAATTCCCGAGTTTTAAAGGATTACCCATCTACCCGATATTTGGGCATTTTGAATCGCGTTCGATTCGATCCGTTGCAAATTCACAATCGACTTTGCCGTTATCTTCGACTCTCGCGTATCGCAGATAAGCGGGAATTTTTAAACGAAAAGAAATTAGGCACATCACGGATTCGGGATTTTTAAGGATTATCCATCTGGGCATTTTGAATCGCGTTAAATTAGAATCGTTAGAAATTCAAGATCGACCGTTGCCGTTATCTCGAATTCGCGTATCTTAGTGAATTCGTCGACGCCTTCGTTACACGTTTCGTAATCGGTGATTCTTCGGTGTGACGGACAGATAATCGTAAGCGCGCGGTAATGAAGTCTTTAATTAAAAAGTCATCCAAGGTACGTTGAACCCGCCCTAACTGTAAAATCCGGACTGTAACTGTTGAACAGTCGAGGTGCGGAGATAACGGCAGGACGAGAGGGAATTATCCTGGGGAGATTTGTTCCGCTATACAGCGACATCCCGTGTTCTTCCTGTCTCTCGGGCCCGTTTACAATGAAACCGCCGCTATGTGCGACATGACCGATCGTTGAACCGTACAGAAGGTATTTCAGCACTCGACGAGTCCCGGTGTGCTCACATTTTGCTCTTATCTTTCGAACAACCGCGACGGGACATATCCCGCTTCTTTAAAGTGCCTCTATCCAGCCGCGATCGATTAAATTCCCGAACAACTAGAGAATCGATCGACTTCTCGAGTTCAGGTGAGTCGAGCTATTTCGGGATCCTAATATATATTTTTGAAAAGTGAATGTGGGATTTAGAGGCATTTTAGTATATTTAACAAAATTCAACGCAAGGAGCGTTTTGGTCGGTGATTTCAATGCCGGGTCGTCGGTGGTCATCTAACTCGTTCTCTGGTCACTGTACGTTTAAACGACCGGACAATCACCGGTTGGCCGGAACTTAGTATAATACCGCGGAAACGGCTGGGAAATTATATTTGTTATAGAGAATCGGTGGCTCGTCGGATGGGCATTCGAATTCGACAGTCGAGGCCGATGAGATCTAACCGCAAACCGGAAGCTGCACATTGTGTCCAGCCCATTGTCTATTTCGGTGAAAATCCAACCCGTGACATTCATTCTGGTCAGACGTGACGTTTCGTTGGGTCCCAAGGTCTGCCTCGATTGCACATCGCGATAAATTTCCCATTACTCATTAGTGATAAGCACAGGTCTAATTTGATTTTAAAGAAAAAATGAATCGATACACCCAGTTAGGAAAATAGTTTCATAAACGAAACCTTTGACGCCAGTTTAAGATTATGTAAAGCCTGAAATAAAGGATTAATTTCTTTTTAGGACATTTCGCTATGCCTCCGGCCTTGGAGATGATTTTGTTGCTGCTCCTGGCAGTGGGTGCCAAAGCTGGAGGAATAGGCACGGCGTGGGACATCTCTCCGTCGACCGTGGAGGACACTTCTTCCCATCGTCCTTCCTGGCCTAAACTGGAGTCCTCCGCCTTCGAGGTCCACAGCATCAGCGGAGTGGGACGACTCTCGACGGTCGAGAAGCACCAACCGTTGGAGAATTACCGGATCAGCAAAAAAGACGTGGCCGACCTTAACGGATTCTCAGAAGTGGGCGAATATTCTCGCAGCGGTAGGCAAAGCGAGGACTTCGAGTACGAAACCGAGGACCTCGTCTTGGAGGACCCTTCTTTCGACGAGGAGTTCTTTCGCAGTAGAAGGGATCTCCAGGACGCGGATCGGAAGGAGTACCTCGTAACCAGGAGCGAAATCCCGGACTCCGAGGAGGAGAGTCTCAGGGATCAAAGAGAGCCCGAGGAAGTCTACAGTCAAGGCAGCTCCAGCAGCAACTTGGTCCACGTCCCGGAGGTTGAGAGGTCCCGAGTAAGGCGCGAAGCGGATAAGGATATGGAGAAAATCTCTGGGACGAAAAACGTAAGGGAGGCAAGACTAGGTTCTCCGGAATCCTGGTCAAAGCAGCCAGTATCCGTGGAGTTTCGCCACCGCGTAAACCTCGACCAGGTAACTCGAGATAATTTCTTGCCGGTCGCGGGACCTAACCGAATGCCTCCAAAGACGGATTTCGTGACTAGTCAGAGAAGGGATTTCCCGGAGACCAGAGAGTCCCGAGATCTGCCGTTCTCGCGGTCCTATGACGATTACGTCCCTATGTATCCGGATAGGGTGCAAGAACGAGTGTTCGATGTCCATATACCGCGAGGCTACTACCCGGATCGTTATAGGACGGAGAGAGATTATTATCCCAGAGGATTCGAGTCCCAGTACTATCCTAATCGCTACCACGAGGACGATTTAGACTCCATGTTCGGCAGGGCCAGGCCGAAGCCGAAGAGAGTCATCTACTACGCCACGCTTCCAGAGGTGGTGCGCAAGCCTGTAGATTTGAGAAACTATGAGAGGCCCTACGAAGGTTCCAGGTCCCCGGCCGTACCTTTATCCAGTGCAGGCTCGCATTTGTACAAACGAGTGCCTGGCAATGTAGATCCGAACAGGTACCGCTACAGACCGACCTACCTGTACGACAACTACGACCCGTACTCGAAGAAAATGGACGGATTTTACAGCAGGCCCTATCCTTCCTATCTGGCCAGAGTAGAAGACGACGGCCGTCCTCTCCTAGAGTTCGAGCGAGTTCCCACAAAGGAGAACCTTCGAGGCAAGGAGACTCCTGACTCGAGCGAGGATCGTAAGCTGGAGAGTCAGATCGCCTCTAAGGACTACGCCAAGGTACCCTGGCCGGTTCACATCGGGGCCGAAGTGAACGTCAAAGACGACGAGAGGATCCCCGGGAGAAAAATCTTGGGTCAGGTTGACAGTTTCAATGGCGCGTACAACAGTGCACGGCTGCAACAATCCGAGGACTCTGCCAAGGCGAGAGACGGTCGTCTTCCTGGAAATTAATTTCTCACTCCTCCCCGACCGTCGCGGACTTCTCGAAGAGAAACTTGGCCAGGTCTTCCGCGAAGCCGCTCCTCGAAGTCACCTTTTGCAGCTCCGTTAGCCAGGACTTGATCTGCAATCGGGCAATGATTCACGGAAATGATTTGAGGATTTTGCTACCTTCGTAACACCGTGCTCGATGAACCGGCGTTCATGAATCCGGACAGTTCACCAGGCGTGATGTTCAGGATAGAGCACGCCGCCTCGTGAACCTCTCTATCACTGGTTTCGCCACCATTTGGACAAGCCTCGGATTTCTTCTTGTGGTCGCGACCATGAACCATTGCCAGGAACCCCTGGAATTCCTCAAGGTGTAAGGGAATTCGTCGCGAATGGATTTGGGAAAGTTTCGGGGGAACTCGCAGCGACGAGTACCTTTATCCCGTCGTGGTACTCTTTGTTGCGACTTTCCGAGATGTTCATTTTCGATTTAATTATCCCGACAGCCTGGTCGCACTTAGCTTTTACCGAGCTCATCTCCTGCTGCATCGATCGCTCGTACTTCAACGCTTGCGTCTCTACCTGATGATCCATGGAATCATCGCGAACTATTAATTTCATAAGTTATGGTTGCTAGCTTGGACATATCAATTTGGGAGGTACAGTAGTATACGTTACGCGAGTTTGCGCGATCCTTATAGGTATTTAGTTCGCTCGGTTAGTTACTCGAAAGGGTTACCCTCGGGTCTATGTGTCAGTATTACGTGTATGACGAATAAAATAATTTATTCCCCTCAACCAGAATGTTCCCAATCCGAATGGCATTGTCTTACCCTCTCCTTCACGCTCGATTTTGACTTCTCCGACTCCAGAGCTAGCTTTTCCTTTTCACTGTTTAACAACGATATCTACGGTGACATTTTGATATCAAGACTCCTACCGATATGATAACCATCAAAGTTCGTAATGATACTCATACCTTGCCTTTCAGCTGAGCATTGCTATTTCGTAAAAGAACATTTTCACTTTCAAGCTCCTTACACCTAGATACTTCCTGTTCCTTTTCTTTAGTCAGCTCTGCTAATTGTGCCTTATAGTTGTTTATTAAAAATCCCTTGTTAGCGTTGGCAGACTCGGACCGAAGTAATCTACAAGTAATAACTAACGAAGTAATCTTCGTTTCAAGTTCGGAAATGATTCTATCGTGCTCCAATTTCGAATAAACCTCGTTGTCATCGTCGGTGCTCGTTGACTTCTCCAGCTGATAAATCGCGCACGTCGAAATTTCTACGACACTCTTATCGTTCGCATCTTCTGAAAACCTCGATTTTATCATTTCCACCTACGTGGGTGTCTGCGTATACACGTGAATTAATTCAGGGATGTCTCCACCTGTATAAAATAATTAATCTTAACCATAAAAGTGGCCTCCTCAAATTCAATAATTAAATAAGAATGCAAGAATTAAAATGACATTGCAAAAATTAAAAAGATTTCTATAATTTTTCCGGTTAGGATCCAAGCTGTTATCGACGGAGCGTCGAGTAGCCGAGCGTTCTGCAAGGTACTGCCACCTGGCGTAGAACTTTCCAACAACGTCCCCAACAACGGACGTATGTATGTAGCGAATATGCTACAACAAATACTAATTTCTAAACAATAAGTCATTTCAAGTCCAAAACACACGAGAGGTTAACTCTTTAATGGCCGAGATAGTAATAAGCGTAATTAATATTCTTCTCGAGATAAACCTTCGGGTTGACTCAAAGGAAACGCCAGATGGTGCATGATCGAAGCGTGGGGAGTAATTCAGAAAGGGTTAAACGGCTTGAACGGGTGAAGAGTGGGTCAAGCTCCGTGGTCGTTCCGCCGGGTTGTGGCCCTTCGGAAAAAAGCATTGGAAAAAATTCCGAAAAATCGGCCGATCGAGTTTCTGAATTGCCTTTAGAGAGGCTCAGAGCGAGAGAGCCCGACTGGGGCCATTATATTATCGGACATTATCGGGCCATATGGAATTTGGGCCCGAAAATAGTGCCGTGCAGGAAATTGCTAACGACTTAAACGCCGGGGCGGTACCAGGGTCTCTGGGTCCTACGGACCCCGTGATGGATGGTCCCTGGCACTCTGTAATTTGGAGGCGTTATGTGTGTACCCCCTAAACACGTAGGTGTGCACCAAAGTTCCACATGACGCCGACCGTGTCCTGCACGGACCGACATCCGAGGAGAGGCTGTCAACCGAACGTCGAATCCTCGACCTCGGGGATTTTCTATTCACCAAGTCGCAGCTTCTCAAGTTCTCGCTTTTTCGGATAATTCGCGTCGGACTAGGGGGAGAGGAAGTCACGAAAGGGGAGAGAACCTCACGAAAAAGACGAAAGAAAAATTGAAAAGGGGAGGAAGACCTCCCAGGTCTCGCCGACTCGGAAACGGACATGTCACGAAAAGGATCAAGGAAGTGTCTCTTGACATTTCGGACGGATATGGGGAATGGTCCCATTGATTTAGTATGATATGCAGGATGGATTAGGATATCGACTGGCGTTGGATTAGTCTCAAGTGGAGACGGTCGTTACGGGTCGAGCCCGTCGTCTCCGGCGTGGAATCGGAGAAGTGGAAACGCTCGGCTCGCGGTCAGCCGGTCGCCCGTAACGTGGAATTATTCCGGATAATATGTGGATAGTTAGTCCGCGATTAGTCTGTCCGGTGGATTATATTCCTCCCCTTTTCATTCCGGCGTGGGCCCGGAGGGCACCTCGGGACGCCGCCGTGATAAATGACCGAATCCTTTGGAGTTTTTAGCCGCGGACCGCTTAGCTCTCGTCTCGGCCGAAGGTCGCTGCCACAATTTCGCCGTAAATCACTGTAAACGTTGACGTAAACGCCAGGGTAATTAGATACACTTACCCGCGGTAACCCGTACTTCTTGCGCGTCGCTCCGGACCACTTTGTTCCCGACCTTTTGCTGCCGGACAGAAAGAAGAGGAACCTTTAGAGTCACGTACCCCGATCGGCTCGTCACTATCGCTCCATTCCCCGGGAACGTTTATCACTTCTCGGTAATAATTACGTTATTCGTCGCCCGGAGACGTCCTCGCGGTCGCCTACGTCGACATATTCCGCGTCTCCCGGTCCACTTCGAAAGGACGAGCCGTCCCCCTCGCCTACTCCGAGTCACCGCAACGACATTAATTTCCTTTAATTACCGGGGGTGGCGAACCCCAGGATTTTTCTAACGAGGGTGGAGAGGTCCCCGAGGTCTAGGCATAAAAATTAAAAGGACAGCTGACGCGTCGAGCTTGGAAGGAAAAAAAAAAGAAGGAAGAAAAGAGCCAGCGAAAGGGAGCCTCCCACGCCCATAGCCTCGCTCCTGCTTTCGGGGCCATCGGCGACCCCGGCTCCCCCGCGTCTACTCCGCCAAGGGATCTTTATGCAGATCAGCCCTTCGTACACCTAATTCCGAGACTCACCGTTGTTTATTGCCGAATCCTTTTAACCTCGGATGGGGCGGCCCGCTCGTTGGACCCCACTTCCCGTAGTAACGAGAGTATCAAGGAACACCAGAGTCCCCGGGTAAGGTCTTCCGCGAGTAACGAGACTCTCTACCGCGAGATATTAAAAAGTCCCGCTCCCACGACGCCTAACGACATTCGCACTTAGTTCATTTACGGGGCGGCGAGGTTCTCTTAGGTTTTAATGGGGCCCGTTTAGGCTCGCGAGAGCCAACGCCTGCCGATCTTCTCTCTCCTCGCGCCGAGGAGTCGTTTCGACGAGTCGTTAGTGACACGCCTTCGAGGATATCTCCAGGACCGACATTAAAATCCCATTTGCCGTTTCCAGGACCCCCGGGACCCTCGCGGATCATCGATTCGCCCTCGCGTCCGAAATCCATTCTTCCTCTCCCTCTCGCGTCCCTTTATTTCGACGTAAATTCGCGGCAATCTCGGGTGCGGAGGAATCGCCCCGGAGTCCTCGGGTCATGCACGAGACGCGGGGGCAAAGCTGTCCCTCGATGAAGATCTTCAATAATTGCAATCGCCTCGCGTCGACAGAGGAGCCGCCGGTCGGGGGAGAAAAACGTCGGCGCTACGTTGGGTCGTTTCATCAGGCTCCCATAAGAGTACACCTATAATTTGTAATGCGGCTCAACAACGGCCTAATGGAAAAATGCGTTCCGGCCAATTTTATGCGCAGCCGTCAGGGCAGGTTGTTGGCCGGAGGAGCGAGGCAGGAGCGAGCGAGAGGAGGACGTCTCCGGAGGAAGGAGGAAAACGAACAGGAGGTGCAGGAAACCCGTGGTGGCGTTATCGAGAAGTCGAATCGACGTCGATTAGGATATCGGAGGTCCTCCCGCGGTCGGTGGTCCAGGAAAGGGCCTCGAAAAAGGGATAAAAATCAAGAAAAAATCGAAACCGAGGTCACGTAGATTTGGACTAAGTGTCGTCGTTAACTCGACCGGCGGATGTAATTTCGATGGGGTCGATTTTCCGTTGAAATTCTTCGCAAACCCGGTATCACTTGCACCCCCTGGCATCGCGAATGCGAGATGCACGCGCATTTTCATTTTCCAGGACGATGGGGCGGAGGGTACGAGTGGGAGGGAGAGGGACCGACGCCCGGGCCCGGGGGAGCGACGCAGACGGCAGGAGGAGAGCACCGCCGATTAACGCGCCCGCGGCCGCTTTTGTAAAGACAATTATTTAACTCGTCAATATTGAATACCGTTCAATTAGCGGCGCACCTACGCGAGCGGTGCTCCATTCGTGCCGACTGCGGAGCCGGTGCGCGCTCCGACCGACTGCCCGTTCAATTCTTCCTCCTTTTTCGCCCTATTCCCCCCCATTTTTTTTTTCATTCGACGCAATGGGGAAAAAAATGGAAAAATGTATCACTGGCTCGATCGAGGTTTCGCGCGTAACGGGCGGATGGTGGACTCCGAGGATCCAGGGTAAAAGTCCGAGGAACCGGTAGTAAATTTTCAATAACACCCCCGTGGTACCCCGAGGTGTAGGGGCGGCCCGGGGCCCAGGTATTTAAATGTTCCTGCGGTCCCGTCGTTATTGCCCGTGGTCTTTGATTAACAACGACGCCTGCACGCGGTATCGCGGACCCATGCCATAACCGAGTAACGAGCCAAGCACTCGCGGACGTAAAGATGTCTCGGCAGTCGGCTCGGTTATATCTTCATTATAGCCCGGCCAGAGTTACGTACTGTGCGGTGCCTCGTGGTGCACAAAATTATGCGCCGCCCGGAGTTATCATTGCCTTCGGGTCGGCCGGACGAATAATTGGCTTCCACCCATATAATACGCCGAGGCGCCTCCTGCGCGGAGCTGTCCCACCGACGCCGAGGATCGCGGACGAATCTCGCGGGCGTAGGTGTTGCTTTGATCGAAGACAAGCCGGAGAGGGAGGAACGGCAAGGAACCCGAGCGCTCCCCTTTTCCTTCCCTCCACCCGCAGTTTCGGCCGCCGCGTTTTTCCCCCAAGGGCGCGGAATCGGTTAACGGGGTGCAACGCTTAACAACGGGGAGGATGTCATCGGCGACCCTCTCCCCCTTCTTAGGGAGCTTATCAGACTTATCGGACGAAAATGGGATGCACACGTATTTCCGCGAGGACCTCTCGACCGCCGGGTTTTTCCCCCAATGGCGCGGAATCCGTTAATGGGGTGCAATGTTTAACAATGGATAGGACGACGGCGACGGTCAACGGCGACACTCTCCCCGCGCTCGGGAACCGAGTCCCGGAATGCACCGGCACCGCGGCTTACCAAACGAAAACGGAATGCATAAGTATTTCCGGCGATATCCCCCGAGGAGGGAGGATTCTCGAGGCGACTTCCGGTTGCGAGGCGAGCTAGTGTCCCTAATTACCGTGTCGGTTCATGAATACGATTGCCGCCACGGCACGGAAGCTAGCGTGGCGTCACTGGTTGTTACTCGCTCATGAATTTATGCATTTGCATCCTCGAACGCAGTTCGAGCTGCCTCGGAGATCCCCAGGACAGTCTCCGACCGAGCGATCGATCTGGGCCGAGGACCTTCGAGGATCCTCTTCCCCGGGGAAGAGGATCCTTCCTTGAGCTCGCTCCCCTTTCTCGCCCTCCGAATATCGTCGCGACGGTCCGTTTCCTCTCCCGGAATCGCTTTCGAAGACTAGGAAACGACGATCCCACTCGTGACCCTTATCGCGTCCATCCGAAACGCCTCGATAAGCCGCAAAACGCTGGGGGGTGCGGTCGATATCGGCGATCGGCCGCGATAACTCGAGGCGAAGGTAATCGCGTCGCGAGTCGCGTCTCGCCGAGTACCGGGACCGGACAAAGGGGAAACCG